ATTCGATACTTCAGGGATCACCAAGGTGAAAAGAATTTTTATCAATTCTCTGACAACTCTTCCATTTAATTGTTATTAACTTAATTTATATGTAGTTGTGGAAATACCCCAAGGAAAACTTTTTCTCTTAGAAATTTTATGTCCAATTTTGAAATTTGTCATCAGAATTATTTCTCAATTAGAATCTTTGGTTTATTTAACATTTTACTACTCTGCTTAATTCTGAAGAATGAAACGATTTAGTGATCAAACAAAACAAGTTATATTAAATGTGTTGGGTTATTTAGAAAGAAATGATGTTGTGCAATTTAAGAAAAAAAGAAAAACAGAACTGGCGGTTGAAATGTAAAAAATTTCTGAAAAATTTTTATATAATTTACAAAAAAGTATACAAAAAGAATATGTCGACTTATACAATTAGAAATATACAAACTGAAGTAAATCCTGCAGATTTAATATCAGTCAGGGAAATTAGGTATAAAATGATTGCATCTAACGAAACGAACACGTAACTATAAAGTCGCGTCAAACTAAAGTTATGGCAAAGATACCGGACTTTAAAGTTGGACCCAGGACACTAAATACTTACATGGATTAGAAAAGTTGGTTTTAAATTTTATAAGAATAATATTCGATTTTTTCGGAAGGAGAGACCATCCATATTAAGCTAAGAAGAATAAAATTTTTGCACCACAAAAAACAAAATTATACAAACCCCTTTTTCTTGATAAAACATGGATATTCAGTAAAGGCAGTACATATAACACGGATTTACTAAAGGAGCGTCTCTAATTCTTAAGGCAAAAACGAAATCTGGCGATTATCATGATAACATGAAGTACGACAAAAGTATCCCAAAAATTTATACTGTGAAAATTAGTAAGTAGGACAAAGAAAAAATCATAGATTCCGCATGGTAAACAGAAAAAATTCTCAATGTTAATTCCGTTTCAGATGATAGTGATAGTGAAGATGATGACAGTAGCGTTGATGATTTAGAGTTGTTTTAAAAATTAATCTCGAATTAAAGAATAAAGCTTATAATTATTCAATTAATTTTGAAATTCTGCAATTTACATTGATATATTACCCTAGCAAGTTATCTGTAACATACAAGAAAACACATACTTTTGGTCACCAAAAAAACGTCGCAGCCCAAGTGGTGAACAGGGATATTTCCAAGATTTTATGTTTAAAGCACAAAAAGTGGAAGAATTTTAGATTACTTTAAGTGCAAAGTCACTAACTATACTTAGCATCAAGTAGAAATTAGCACCAAATGTACATCCTTTCTGTATTTATCATCGAAGTATCGTTTCCCCATGGGGGGATCATTTTCACCATAGGTGTGTAGGTATCTACTACTTCATTAAACGCATTAAAACTTGCATTATCAGAAGCAAAATAATATCAGTAGCAATAGAAGATTTTATATTGGCTTTTAAAAAGCAGTTCGTAATAATGAAAAATTAGGTTGGCCGGCATACAGAATCTGACGATTAGAGAGCGTGGTGTGCAAGCATCGGTGGTTCAGTGGTAGAATGCTCGCCTGCCACGCGGGCGGCCCGGGTTCGATTCCCGGCCGATGCACACTTTTTTTTTTAAGTGTAGATTAAATAAAAATAAACAAATTGGAAACCGGAAACTAAAATTATGATTTTTATTATAACTGAATATCCTACATCCAAGTTTTAGAATATTTTTAAAGAACGGGCAACAGACGTTGCAATCTTCTGACGGACGACAAAACTTACAAGTATCACTATCAGCGGATTAATCAAGGGTTTATAATTGGCATTTTCCATAAGTAGTATTTACTCGTACTTTAGGAAAAGTGTAATAAAAGTTTTACAGACCACCTCATTTTGACTGCTGTTTAATATATTTATTTTATTTATGTATTATTAATATTATATTTAATTTATATTGGAGAATTAACCTTTCAAAAAATACATAGAGGTATAAAGACGTTCATCCTTTATCGTTAAAAGAGTCGTTTAAATAAAAGCTGGAATAAATTGTTCGAGACGTTTGAAATTATTTATACGAATAAATGTAAAAAGATGGCTGAACAACTCTCCCTAAGTAACTGCGAAATCTTGATAAATAAAAAAATAATTAGCATATTGCAACACTCTTAGAAGTGTACAATAGTGTACGATATTATACAATTACAATACTTTTTACAATATTATATTACTTTAGTAAGGAACGACTGCTACAATGTGTCTTATTAAACAAGTGTAATATACCTACAATTTTTTCTACATTGCTCATAAAGTTTAAAAAAAAAGATTGTGAAGAATTCACTACTCAACGAAGAGTTTGGTAATTTAATTTTTTTAGTAGAAAATTTATTAGATTCATATTTATTATTATATATGTATTTATTGTTTATTTACACAGCTGTTTGTCGAGTGTTTGAGTAAACCTATTGATACTTGATAAATGAATATTAGGTTCAAAATTAGACAAATTACGAGTACAAATTGAATGGAATTTTGTCTTGGGAAACCTCGAGACTAAAATACTAAATACATTTTTTCGTTGACCTTATGATGAACTAGTTTTGACGTTTGGCAAATAAGATCGAAATATTATTAATTCACTTTCCACTTGACCGATGTTTTCCCAATGTGCCTCTGATAGAGCAAGTTAAAAAAAAATCGAACGTACAAAAATGTATGGGCTTTTCCATTCAAAAAATAAAGTTGGATATTTTTCCTTTGAAGTTGGGAGTTCCATGCAGTTAAACATTATTCGTTTTGTCCAAAGACTGCTTGCTTCCACTGAATTTAACTATAATGTTAGAAACTAATTATGGAATCTTAAAAGAATAATAATAATTTTACAACTATGTAGTTACAACTAGGATTGTCAGTATTTTTCGTTAAATGATTTGCTAATATCACTTGACCATGTTGTTGTCTTATGCACCCAAAATTGTGGGCCACTTGTATATTCATTTATGGAAGATTCTTGCCGCCTCTAATAGCGTTAACTTTTTTTGAAGTTTTACATTGACAGTCGTCGAACATTAAAACATCGGCACGTATTTTCGAGTATAAACACCTTGTATAACTGCCAGACTCTAAACAATACATTATATTGATGGATGATTAATTTGACATTCGTCACAATATACAAAAATCAATTATATGTAATAATGTGTTCTGATGTATTCATATGTATCAAAAACACAAGACTTCTCAACGGGAGAGCAGCACCTCCTGGCATATTGTATGATAATTATAACAAGGGGAAAGTCGAGCCTGTTACTTCCCGCTGAGTTTAGTGTAGATTTTATTTTGGGCATACATGCTCAACATTTGCCAGTGTTCTCACCTCAGATGACGAATGACAAAACAATGCAAGAAATCACAAATATATTATTAATTTTGAGTTTTATGTTGCCGTAATACTTTTCGAAAATAATAACAGTTTTCGATTAAACACTTAGTGATTAGTAATATCACGGTCGATAAAAAAATAAGGTCAACCACAGGGGAAAGTATAGTTCTTTAATTGACTCTGCTGCAAGCAATTTTCTAACTTGGGGTTCAGCTCCCTTATAATATTTCAATAGCAGCTACAATTAATTGGACTTCATACCTTCACAGATAAATATTTTTATACCACAATTGTACCATATCATCGAGAAAAAAGTCGTCTGGCAACTACTGAAATTTAATGTTAAAAAAATATGTTGGCAGTAGCAACGCGTTTCTTGCTCGGTTTGACCATTATGTCAAATATCTGTCAATTAAACTGACAAATAGCTATAATGCAAACATCATATTTTAAAAATAAATTCCATGGCTTACCAGACGACTCGAGATATTTATAAGAAAGTAAAACACATCGAGTCTTAAAGTTTACTTTTGCTTTTACAAAGGCTCTGAATTTCTTTGACTAGAATAACTAATACCTAACATATATTATTACAAATATAAATAATTCATAGAGATATATAAAATAACTTGGTCACATTCTGCAACCCGCGAAGAGTACTTTCAACGATCAACATCCCAACAGCGTAACGCATTATTTAGTTATTTGTTTAGTGTAGTCAAATTTGTGCATAAAATTAAAAGTGTTTACCTCTAATAAAACACATTAAAAATTAATGTAAAGTTATTTAGATACAATTTCCCTCACCCCTGTAGCACGACCAATTCTGCATGCATTTTACAACGTATTATTCAATGATAAGTATCTAATTTACATAATGACAAAAATTTTAAGTTTAAAGTATGTAGAGTGCTATGTGGTAAGTGGTTATAATATTGCATTATTCTAACAATTTCAGAGAAATAATGGATCGTTTTTCAAATACTAGAAAAAATTAGACTACACAGTTGTCTTTGGAAACCAGTTGATAAATTACACAATGAAAATTGCTTTGAAAAAAGTAGTCTTGTCTTTTTTATAAAGATTTTCCTCTTTGAAAAAAATACGACCGGACATACACATGTTGTTTAAATTATTCAGATCAATTTCTAAGTGCACATTTATTTGACAAGTTTTTGAAATTATGTTATCAATTTTTTGGAGAAAATAAATGAATAAAATTTTATTAACGTTCTATAATCCTTAGCCTTAAACGAAGCTAGTTAGTGTCATTACTTTTTACTTTCATTTAAAAATGTGCAGATGACGTCATCAAATTTGGTGTCGATGAACAAGTAAATGATGGTTAGTATTTTACCATCAACAAGATAATCTTGAAGGTTAACAGTAATTAGTATGATAGTTGATGGCTTCCTAATAGTTTGGAGATTATCTAATAAAATCTCCAACAGACAGGTAACAGACAAACGACCGACAGACTGAGATCAATTTGTTGTGTTGCCAACATAATTTCATTAAATTCCAATGGTTGCTAGATATTTTTTTCCGTAGATCATATTTTTAAATTAATCTGCAGCAAGGTGTAAGCAGACTTGACTTCTAATTAAGAAAAATTAAACCAGATTGTAATTAAGGCTTTTTTTTTTCAGACCAGTGACTTGGACACATTCCTGTGTAAACAGGAGTGGGAACGCCGTCTAGAAGAAGAATTAGACAAACCTAGGCGAGATTCAGCATCTCAGATAGATGATTTTTTTGAACCTACCCACAATCGTCATCAGCCCACCATGAGCTACGTGTCCATGCGAAGTCTCCCAGGTACCGACGATGATGTATTTCTTCGGCCACCTCTTTGGGAAGACATAGCTAGTAGTATACAAAACATAGATCCTGAAAACGCAAATATGTTAGGAGTAAGTCCTGGTCACGTAAAATTAGAAGCCGTCGACGAATTAACTGCCAATTGCCCCCCAACGCCATCTCCTCTACTCTCACCCTTAGAAATAAAAACAGAAAAGGTAAGAAAACCGTACCATATTAAGCGTGCAAATCATAAATCACTATTCCGAATAGGTGCTGCAGCAATCTACCCCCACCCTCCATTTAATGGGTACGCCCACGAGCCCTTACAACCAGCAGCAACCCACGAGTCCGCAGCAAACTCCCCACTACCACCAGCCGCAGCAGCAGCTCCACCACCCGCATAATAACAACAACAATAACAATAACAACAACAACAACACACACTCACAATACAAATATAACAATGCAGTGGCGCCGAGTCCTGCGCCAGGCAACGCTCTCTACCCGCCCATCTCTAGGTTAATGTACGGTTCGCCATTAACGCCCCCCAGTTCAGAGCCGGGGTCTCCTGGAGGAACGCTTCCGAGACGCACTCCCCCGCCCCCGTACCCTGCCCCCGGATGCCAGCAGCAAACCCCCCAACCGACGATTAATCGAATCACGTCATCCGCGGCAAAATATAATAGGCGAAATAACCCAGAGTTGGAAAAAAGAAGGATACATCACTGCGATTTCATGGGTACGTATATGCATATGAGGTTGGCTTAATGCTAGGTTTTAGAGATCATATTTACTCTGAATACCACGTCATGCAAATGAGGAGTATGCAGTTATTTGTTTGCGCAAATTATACGTTCAATTGTTGAACAACGTGTGTGGGAGGCACGGTGCCTATTGAATTTATTTACTTATGAAAATTGAATGCAGACTCCAGGGTAAACATTTGAATATGGAATTTTTTCGAAAACTTCATATTTCTGATACATCAACAACAAGGTCGTAAATTATTAGGAAGAAACTGTTTTCGCTAAGTATACACTGTCATAATATAATACGTCCTTCAAAAATATAAAATGTATTTCTAGAAACGATGTGAGCGTGATTTTAAGGCCTGTTCTACACAATTTTAATCAAATTTAAAAAGATAGTTAAAAGATTTAAACAAGTAGTGCTCACTAAGTAACATTTAACCCATTTGTAACAAATATAGTTTAAGAGAAAATTAAAAATTAACACTGCAGATATGGTTAATGAAATATAAATGTTATAGAGTTAAAAGCACACGAGTAGGTTATCGATACTTAACTTTTCCCCGGAACAACTCTACCGGTGTAAATTTTTCTAACTTTTTATGTATACTATGAATAATTATGAAGAAAGGGAAAAAGTATTTTTTGGAATAAAAAATATATGAAAATATCAATTTAACAACCGGGAATAAATTGAAATTAAAATTTCAAAATTTTCAGAAATTAAATTTTAAAAACATTATAATATAACCATGGAGATAGAAGAGGCCATCCTATCTCCAAGCCTGAATGTAACGCTTATTATATCTAGGATATGTTCATTAAGTGATACTCCTATTATTTTTAAAATTTAAGTTTTACACGGCGGAACTTTTGAAAATAAAATTGTACTTTTGACTTTTTAGCAATATTTGTGGTTTTGTTATTTTATTCTGTGCTAGCGCATTGTGTTCTTTGCAATTGATAATGCATTTGTTGAACAATTTTTTTTTGCCAAAAATTCAGAGTTGAAACACCATATAACATTTCATTTTCGTCAAAATAGAATAACAAATTAGATTTTTAATCCCTTCTTACTGCCTTATGTTTAAATTTGCATAAAATTATTATTGGAACAATAAGGGACCACGTTAACCAAAAAGGTACTAAGCGACAAATACCAAAAATTGATCAGGATAGCAGTGTGCAAAATTTATTATTAAAAATTAATTCATAAAAATATTTCTCTTCCTCAAAATATTTTACATGTTAAAATTTATGGTAGAAGTAAGCGCCCTTAGTAAATGTGACATTATTATCTTTTTATCAGAAAAGTATTAAGCGACACAACCCAATTTTACAAGAGGGTTGTGCATTCATATCTTTATTATGCAATTATTTTTATCATTGTTACGTTTGTGATAAACGCTATACTAAGCTTTATCGATTTTTGTTCGTTAGGAATTTCTTGTTTCTAAGTGAATTAACAATCACAACCCTAGAAAATGGAATTGAAAGCTGATATACAACAGGGCTTTCATTAATGTTTGATATCTAATAGGCCATATATTTTATGCGTAAGTTGGCACTACTGACAGATTGTCAAGTTCAGTTTGAAATTTGAAATTTGATGGCGAAGTCGCGCGTTGCTAAAATTGCTATTGAAGTATTTGGTGTATCAGAATTTTAAGTTAAGCAGTGCCAGTCATGCTCAGGAAGTACCAACTGATTTCAAAAATCCATGGCCTACTCCTACTGCAAATATCAAACATTAGTGTAAGTGCCAAAAACTGCTTCTTTTATAATTGTATACGGTCGCGGCCATAGAAAACTGGACCACTTTGACTTTTTTTTAATATCATAATAACAATTTGAATGTATGCTCTTGATTTGAAAAACGGGACAGTAACTTTATCAAAATTATTTGATTGGTCAAACAAAACATTAATTAAATCCTATTTTTTTTTTAATTTGGAAGTGTGTGTCAAACCTAGAGGTCCAGCTTTTTTTAATAAAATACAGCTGTAAACACTGATACGAAAGATAAAAGAGGTTTCGTGGTTAAGGGAAAAATAAACTTCCAGAAGAAACGCTACAAAAAGTAGTTGAACACATTAATAAATTCCCAAAATATACTTCGCATTATGCAAAAATATTTTTACATCCGGATTTGACATAATCAAAAATGTATGAACTACATATATCAGAAAGAACTTCGACTGATTTTGACGCTTTTGACATTTTCGACCATATCCAAAAGTTAGTTGAAGTTAGGTCAGATGAAATAAGAAATCAATTTTGTAGTAAATAGTAAACAAAAAAAAGTTAATATTAGAACTGTTTTTTACTTTTTCACTTCCTAGATTCTATTATTAGTTTCCACTCCCACTCTACAGAAGAACATAGTTAGCCCCGCCCACCACCCGGTCTCTTTTTCAGTGATTGTTTATCTGACCTGAATGAAATAATTTTATACTGAACAGAAATAAAATTTGTCATTAAAATGAGAAGAGGGTGGGTGGGCGGGGCTAGTACTTATTAAGATAAGATTGATTTTGGCAGATGACATACCTTCCAAGAAAATAGAGGGCGGGTGGGCGGGGCTAATACTTAGTAAGATAAGACTAACTGTGGCAAATGACATACCCCCTAAGAAAATAGAGGGTGGGCGGGTGTTGCTAGTATTTGATAGGATAAGACTGATTTTGGCGCTTTTGACATTTTCGATCATTTTTCAACTATATCCGAAAATTAGTTGAAGTTAGGTCAGATGCATGAAATAAGAAATCAATTTTGTAGCAAATAGTATAACAAAAAAAGTTATGATGAGCACTGTTTTTTTACTTTTTCACATCCTAGATTTTATTATTAGTTTTCACTACCACTCGCCAGAAGAACATGATTAGCAGCGTACCTACAAAAATATTTTTATATCGACTAATTTTAACCTTAGGCAAATAGGTTTCAGTAAAAATACTTATAATATATATGGCCGTTATAATTAACACTGAGCAAAAACACTGCAGAAAATGAAATTACAAAAGCTCGCCAAGAAGGACATGATTGAACTGATTCTTTGGTCTGACTCTTGTGGGGGTCAAAATAAAAACATAAAAGCAATATTAATGTGAAAGTCAATTTTGTCGGAATAGTCAACTTTCCAAACAATTTATTTTAAATTTCTTGTTTTGGGACATAGCTTTTTACCGAATGATAAAAATTTTGGAAATACTGAATCAGCTCTTAAATTTCAATAAGGAAGAAAATATACCCCAGAAGATGTGCAAATATTGTAAGTTGTAGGAAGCAAAATTCACTCAGTGTTTATTCTATGCTGAAAGAAGATTTTTGAACTGAAAGTAAACAATCACGAATAGAAAAGTAGACAGAATAAGGTTGGTTGGCTGAAAACAAGGGTAATTACAAAAGATTAGCCGCTTTCCACCTTTATGAAGAATAATCACAAAAATTGGATACCAAGAAGTCTCAATACTTAAAAAACAGATTTATCAGACGTCTAGAAATTCTAAAAAACTTCCAATTTTATGGCCTATTAGAAAAGAAATATCAAATAAGAAATTGGCAGATCTGAAAACGTTATTGCTTTTTATTCCTAGAGATGCAAAAATATTTTACAAAAATGTGTGAGGATGAACTTTGAAAATTCCGTTGAAGGTTTTTCAAGATGTGTATTGATGTTGAATTCTATAGTTAGGTCAGATTAATAAGGCCATATAGTATTAAGACAATTATTTTTTTCTGGCATGAATGAGCATTTTCCATTTTTAATGGGAGTTTGATTCAGTTTTACACAAATTTGAGTTGTGTCGCTTAGTACCATTTTGGTTAACATAGTCCAATTATAAAAAATTATGCTGTTTTTATTAATTCTATTTTTTTGTTTTTCAGGTTGCACGAAGGTGTATACAAAAAGCTCACATCTAAAAGCACATCAAAGAATTCACACAGGTAAGGACACAGTTTTCTAATATCAAGGTTTAAGGAACATAGAAGATAATTTATTATATATTTAATAAAAAAACGAGTTATGATACTGAACCACCACAAAAAACTATAATGTAATTAAATATTAAATTTAAGTGTCAGATGATGGCTGCAACTAACTGAACTTGTTCTCGTTAAATCTGTTAAACAACCACAAATCTCTGATATACTCATTTTATTAACACTGAGAGAACTTAGATCCTTTATGATATAATTAAACGTGACTTTGCAAGTCGAGTAATTGTGCATAACGTAGAACGTGATTGTTTTTAGCGACAAGAACTTAAATAAATGCATGGCCGGATAATGTTATATTATTTTTTACAATGCCGTTTACTAGTAAACGTAGTCTACTGTACAAAACAATAAAAATAATGATTATTTAATACAATATAAAATGTAGATTTATTTATTAAAGATTCACCACCTTTCGAAATTATGTTGAGTAACTTCTTAACAACTATTAGAATTCCTCACAAATGACATGGATGAAACGATAGTTTTCTCATCAATAAGTTAATTGTTGTAAGAAGATATTATATTTCAACGTTTTAATTTTTATAACAGCAGTATTACCATAAGCCATATTTTTTCTACCGCATTTGAGTACGAGTCCGGTCTGTAGGTTAAAAGTTTAGAAAATCTTCGTATCTTCAGTACAACATTACCTATATATACAGTTTTCCGACGCTTCTACTAGTTTGTTTTTTATACTGGTTGTTAGTACATACACTATATTCAGCAACACTATTCCTCTGTAGTTTTTACACCTTGTCTTCGATCCTTTTTTTAATGGACAAATTATTGCTTCGGACCACCATTCTTTCAACATTTCTTCTTCTCCTCCATATTTAGTGACTTTAATAGGTGCCTATTCTTCGGATTTTCTTCCCCTTCTTCTTGTTTCACTTCCTCTTTATAGCACTTCTTTGATTGTTTATTGTATCTATCCCCAAAAATTTGTATTAGTATTAGTTTTCTTTCGATGGTGACGTAAAATATAATTATAGCTAGATAACTTGGAACTCAGATTATTGTCAATGTGCTGCGACCAAGATAGATTGTCATCAGGGCGATATATACCTGATAATTTGACAGTGTTTCCACACGTGGTGTTTCTATTGCTTGATATATGCATAATATTTAATAACATTCTCTTTTTTCTTCAAAATTCATTAGTCAGGTATTTATAGTCAGCTTCTTGAAACAAACTTAAATAATTTCATAAATCACCAAAAATTAAATCTTTTGTACTATACTTCAGTCAGATGTAAACTGAATGATCTATTTTTAATACAAATCCAAAAACAATAATGTCCTCACTAACTGTTTTATTGTTTCAGGCGAAAAACCTTACCAGTGTCAGTGGCCCGAATGTGAATGGCGATTCGCGAGATCCGACGAACTCACACGACATTACAGAAAACACACGGGAGCAAAGCCATTCAAATGTGCCGTTTGTGAGAGATCTTTCGCCCGATCAGATCATCTTGCCCTACACATGAAGCGACACCTTCCGAAGACATCTAAATAAAATTCTTCAGAGTTGAATTTTCAGATGAACTTAATTTATCATCACATTCCTCTCTATTTTCTCTTGAAGAGCGATCTCAAATAATATCTATGAAGACGTACGTACATTTCGTTCGAATTATGTTTTGTTGTATCCGCGTTATACCTCATTCCACCGCCAATGCCTTTTGTGAATTTAGAGGCCTTTTCCAGTGTACTTAGAAACATAATATTGTAATAATTGTGTAATGCAAATTGTGATTTTTACTTAAATACACTTTCCATCCACGCTTGACGTACTATGATAGACTATATTGTAAAAAAAATCAGTTTTATTTGTTTTTTTAAAACTTTGGTTGTGAAATAATTATTGTTATTTATAATATTGTTTATAAGTGAGGCACTACTGATAATTGTTAGGAGAAATTTCTTTAACATTGCCATCTGTTTTACCCAGTGTTGTGATTTTTTTTGATGTTCTATTTTTGTTCGAATATGTCGTATACATTATTCAGTATATGAAGTTACCAAATATGTACGTTAAATTATGTACATAAAAATAAGATTAAAACTGACTAGAAACTAGTCAAGTAATTTCAATATTTGTAAGTAGATTGTAATTATTCGCTATATTACATATTTAGCGTATTTATATCGTTATTATAAGTATTATAGATGAAACACAAATTTTATTAACATTACTTTGTACTTCATGTTATTTATATGAATAGAGAGAGAGAGAGAGCAAACTAGAGTACACAATATTTTAGGTAGAAATTGTTTTCTTTTTTAATTTTGTATAATTTACTTTTAATACAAGTTTATTTTTACCATGTCGTAGTTTTTTTACCCAGCAGTCAACTTTCAATTTGAAAATACCGCAAACCGAACTACCAACCTAAAAATACTAACAAAACCCAAGCGCTAGTTAAGAAACATGGCACCCGCCTGTATTTATTATTTTGCAGTGTAGTGCAAACAATTCCTTCATTATGTAGAAAAGTGTAGCCTAAATTCAAATTCAGTTTTAGAATTTGTGAGTACTTTTTTATTTCACAGAACAATGGTAAAACGAATGAAACCCTCAAACTTAGAATTAATTCAGAATGTAGAAATAAAAAAGTGTGTCTTATTTAATAAACTAACTATATTTCAGGCTTTTTAATTTATGAAAATAAATTACTTTCTCAACAAATACCTGAGAAAATGCATAAGGAATCTTATCAAGAAACGTCTGAAATCTCAACAGAGCAAGAAAACGATGCCTTAAACACGACACACAAAAATTCACCCTCAAAGTTACAAAAATGCAAATTTTGCTATCTAGAATTCCATGCAATTAATGACTATTTATCGCATATTGAAACTACACACCAAAATATTCAAAGCAACAAATTTATGTGCAGCGAATGTGGTAAACAATACAAAACAAAAAATGAACTCACAAATCACATAAATTCAAAATGCGGAACAATAAAACGGTTTAAGTGCAAAGTAAATCATGCGATACTTACAAACCTGCATAATATTTTTAATGATCGTAGATTTGTGACCAAAATCTGATGTCAGCTGGTTCTCTGTATAATCACATGTTACGGCATAAGGATGTAAAGAGTTTTATGTGTCGATATTGTGCCAAATTATTTTACACTGCAGGACAACTGCAAGTGCACGAACGAATACATACTCAAGATAGAGCTTATGTTTGCGAGGTAATAGTTATTTTGCAGAAAATAAAAAACTGAAAAATCAGTATATTAAATTTTTATAGGTATGCAACAAAGGGTTTTGTCATAGACAAAGCCTCATCACACACAGTTCTATCCATACAGGAATTAAACCCTATCAGTGCGAAAATTGTGGCAGTTCATTCAGTTGCGTTGGAAATCTAATAAAGCACAGGAAAACTCATGCAGACACATGTGGTTTAATTCCATTAACAACTCACAGGGTTAAACATCCTTCCACTAAAATTAAAGTCAGGATTAACACGCCTTCAACCTCAAGACTAAAGAATTATGAAAAAGGCAAAGAAATTCAAAAAGAACTGGAAAATTTAAAGACTGAATTGAGAAAAGACAGTGACGTTAAACTGGAGCTTTCTTCACAGGTACATCAGTTTATGTCCATTAAATCAGAAAATAATTTTGAAATAAAGTACTTACACACTTTTACTTAAAAATAAAATTAATTACGTTTTAGTACGTGCAACGTTTTGCGCAAGATATGAAGATAGAACGAGATTCAACAATCGTGAAAGATGTAGAAAACAAAATTAAAGTAGAGAAAGTAGAAAAAGACTGTGATAATCAAAATGAAGATGATTGTCTGGATTCTAGTGGCAGTGATAATGACGACGATGATGTCGATAATAGTAACGACTGTGTAAATACTGTAGAAGACAATAACACTGACGAAGAAGCAATTTTTGGTATAGATCCAGAGAAAAATGAATGGCAAATTGCACAAACTGACAGTAAGAATGAACGCACAACAGTAAAAGATCCACAAAAGAAAATTATAAAAGAAGACTTATTAAAATTTATACAAGAAACTAGTTTTGGTATATATAAAAAAATGTTATGAATCCACAGTTTAACTGTCTTGTTTTAGACAGCGATGGTTATGGCGACTGTAAATATTGTGGCAAAAGGTACATGAATGCCACCTGGTTATATAAACATGTTAAAAATCACGAAAAAAGCATTCCAGTGGGAAATGACAATAACTTTGGTGTTCCTCTCCACAAATGCAGTTGCTGTAAGATGACTTTTTATACCAAGGAAGATAGTTTGATTCATCAACAGACCAACCATGCAGATATCTTAAGTAAAGTAAAACTCTTTAACAAATTCACTAGCTTTAATTTTACTCCTTTTTAGCATGTCAAGACTGTGAAAAGTTATTTGCTAATCGCGACTCATTACGTTCACATCAAAAAGTATTTCATCAGGGTATGTGTAGGAAAGCCTATATATATGTGTGTGAAAAATGTGGCCAACATTTCAAACAAAAATCAAAACTTAAAGTTCATGAGGAAAGAAACTGTAACAAAGGCCCGTATTATGAATGCTCAATTTGTAAAAAACAGTTCTCAAGTATATACAGCAGAAACAACCACATGAGAGTTCATGATCCTGAGAAGAAACTTCTGTGTAAATTCTGCGCTAAAAGTTTTCACTGGAAGGGGCAACTTAAGATTCATGAACGTAGCCACACTGGAGAAAAACCTTTTGCATGTTTATACTGTCCAAAAGCATTTGCTTACAGAGAAAGTCTGATTACTCACAGCAGTATGCATACTGGAATCAAACCACATTTATGTGATGGATGTGGTGCTAGGTTTTCCTGCATTGGAAACTTGATTAAACATAGAAGTAGTCATGCCAGCGAATGTGGAGCATGGACTTACAAGACACAGCTTCAAGAGTTTGGCAGCTAACTCAATTCCTAAAATTGATTTAATTTATATTTTTATTGTCAAAAATAAACAATGATATTTCATAATACTTTGAGGTAAATAATAAAGCTAAAAAGTATAAATTAAAAAGTAACAAGAAATTTTGACAATTTGGGAATTTCAATAAGAACATCTTCATCATCACTGTCTGATTCTGTATCAGAATAATTCAGATCTGAACTAGATAAACTATTTTCCCAGTCTGAACTTGAATCTGAATCTGCCGATGTATCCTCTTCCAACTGTTTGTGTGTTGTTATAACATTAGGAAACATCTGTAAATAAAAAATGAATGCAATTTATAAAAACGAAAAGATGTTTACCGTGTCGATATCTGTAGTAGATGCAAGAGGATTGTGTAACAAGTTGATTTTAACACACATCATGGTACTTAAAACACTTTCAGGTATAGAGAGGAACTCGTTAAACCGTAGGTGTAGATATCGTAATTGCTTTAACTTTGAAATATTCGAAGGTATGTAATTAAATTTGTTTTCTGTAAAATTGAGATGAACTAATGATTGTAGTTTATCAAAATCCTTAGGAACTGTGTATAACTGATTATCTTCCAAAGTCAACCATCTAAAATAAATTCACATACAGTTGCTTTCATCTTAGCACAGAGGTTGCATTTACTTCAGGTGCGTTAAATTACATATTCCCTCTGGTAACTTGCTCAACTGATTATGCCTAGCTCCCAAAGTTTCGAGTTTCAATAAGTTACCTATTTCTTCCGGAAGAGTTGTTAAACAGCACCGATTGCACCACAGAGTTTCGAGTGAAGTCAAAGTTCCAATATCACTAGTCAAATCTTGTACAGGATTATGACTTATATTTAATGTTACTAATTGAGGCAAATCTCTGAGTGCTTCCGGGAAACTATCGAATTTGTTATGTTCTAAAGATAAATTCTGTAAATTTGTTAATTGTCCTAAGCATTTTGGTAATTCTGTAAGCTTATTATGACCAATATTCAACGAAGTAAGTTGGACACAACTAAGTAACAATGGGGGAAATTTAACCAAGTCGTAATCATCTAACGCTAAATTCGTCGCTTTGGCGCCATGAGCTTTTTCTATTTTCGCCAAGACACGGTTTCTTTGGATGTAATCATAGATTGGGTTCATATTTATGGAAGCACGTGAAGGTTATGTCACAAACACTATCCACGAAATTACATTTTTCAAAAGATTAAATCTTCACGAAGTAAACAATAATCCGTTTACTTTTAATTAACCATCTGTACAAAAAACTTATTCTATATATAAATTTACTTGTATTTATTGCCAAAATGATTACTGTTGACAGAAAAAAACTTAAGACATTTAGACCGCCATTACTATGCAGATGGTAGTTTCAATAAACAATTGCAATAAATGAAAAATTTCGTTATAACAAAGCAATATTTACAGAATGATACACCATTAACTGATGGCGTAACTGTGAAAATATGTTAACCATGAATTTCAAGGTTTGTGGTATTTTCATTGTTCACTTCAATCATGGGGCCATGCCCATGGTTATTTAACCTACTAATGACGTTTTACTTTTTGAACTACGCGCCACAGATTGCAAGATTTTAGAACTAAACAAAAATTAAGTAGACCATGTGTACCATTTGTAACTGCCAACTTTGACAGCACAAATTGCTGTTGTGGTTAGGTGGTTCAAGTCGTTGACTTTTTCGTTCTGTTCACCGGTTTTGTTTCCGTGTAAAGAATTTTTCTAAAAATTCAACTAAAAGTTCTTTTCCGAAACGTTATTTTTTTATAAAAACTAATGGCTGGAAACTTTTGGCAAAGTTCTCATCAGTAAGTATTTACAGCTCTTTCAATTAGTGGCTCAAAAAATCTCTACAAATTGAATTCGTTTTTAGTCAGCAGTGGCTTTTAGATAAGCAAGATTTAGTAAGGGAACGCCAGCATGATCTATCCATACTACAGGAGGATGAATATCAGAAAATATTTATATTTTTTGCAAGCGGTAAATAATTTCATGCAAAAATAATTCCATGTAAAATTGTCTGTTTTAGTAATACAAACTCTAGGCGAACAGTTAAAATTACGACAACAAGTGATAGCAACTGCAACGGTATATTTTAAAAGATTTTATGCAAAAAATTCATTGAAATGCATTGATCCGTTACTATTAGCCCCCACATGTATTTTCTTAGCTTCTAAGGTAGAAGAATTTGGAGTAATTTCAAATTCTAGGTTGATAACCACATGCCAGACAGTCAGTAAGTTGTCAAATTTTATCCCTTTAATAAAATGAGTACTTAATTACTTTTTTCAGTTAAAAATAAATTTAGTTATGCATACACTCAAGAATTCCCATATCGGACAAACCACATTTTAGAATGTGAATTTTACTTACTGGAGAATTTGGATTGCTGTTTAATTGTGTATCAACCTTACAGGCCACTATTGCAGCTAGTTCAAGATATAGGTCAAGAAGATCAGCTTTTGACATTAGCATGGAGAATAGTGAATGATTCATTAAGAACTGATGTATCATTATTGTATCCTCCATATCAAATTGCAATAGGTTGTCTTCAAATAGCATGTGTAATTCTGCAAAAGGACCATAAAGCATGGTTTGCAGAACTGAATGTGGATATTGAACGAATCCAAGAAATAGCTAGATACATAATAAATTTATTTGAACTGTGGAAAACTTATGACGAAAAGAAAGAAATTCAGGGGTTGTTGAATAAGATGCCTAAGCCTAAACCAGCTCCTCAAAGATAAATAGATAAGTTTTTCCAAATAACATTACGCTTATCTCTGTATCATTCAACATATTTATTGTTTATGAAACCACATGATTTGTGAAAAAAAAAAATTCAAAATAAAGTTCCTAGATTTATGAATTTGGATGTTTACTTAATATCAATGATTACTTGGTTGTGGTAGGAGATTGTGTCGTCTCATATTATTAATAACTCCGTCTAATGATGTTGTTTTCTTTTTTGCACTTCCCTTTAATGCCTCTTCTCCTTTGTTGCGAATTTTGAGCCTAGGAGACGTAGTCTCATCCAGGAAGTCAAAATCAGATTTGTCTTCTGTTCTACAAAAATTTACTGGATTTAAATATTTACAATGTCAAAAAACATACTGTTTGGTTTCAATTTCTGGCGGTGGTGGTTCCTGCACTTCTGGAGACGGTGACCTGTAACCAGGGCACTTCCAATTTAATTCTGGAATTTCTCCATTATTAAGTTGATCATAAAGTTTTTCTATTATTTCTGGGGCTGGTTCCCACGGTCCTTTTACGTCTTTATATTCGTCATCGGAACAATCAATATTCCACGAATTTTCCATAATTACATGCTTACAGACCTGATAATTACAAAATTTTAATAGTTTTATTTTTATTTATTCAACATTGTTGACACTCAAATCATAACCTCAAAACCGTGCAATCCGTGCATTGATCCAACGATAGAATGATTTTTGGCGCGAAATTTAAACAACGATCAAACCAAATGTTTATTTGAGGAACACACTTTTATCTTCTTTTGTGTATCAAATTTCAAACTTTAACAGTGCAAAATGAAAACAATAAATTAAGAATGTTGTACTAACCACATTTTCAATATTTGTTCCAACATTTAGACATCATAAATATGAAACCCACTGCGTTTACATGTTCTCATTCAACTTTACTCACTACAAACTACTTTTACATATTAATTTTGTATTGACTTCAAAGTTATAATTTGTAAAAACAAAAGTTCAAACGTTTTCCCAGTGTTTTTTCTCGATGGTCCAACAACACCGTGAGATGTTGCTTACAGACGCACTACATAAGTAAAACTCACTTTCATTAATTTGTTATTCTATAAATCTTTACTTATATTTTCTATAATATTTAGTATTTACAAAATACACACAGTCCTGTTATGACATCACACACTTATCCATTTAATTAGTAAATGTACTGGCGTCCCAACATAAACATAGAGAGTGTAAACAGTGTTGCTCCACTCTGCACAGAAACACTTACTGTTACGCTTAGACAATTAAAAAGCAAGGAATTACAAAAATATAGAACGTATTCTTGGATATAATTACAATTAGAACTTTAATAAAATTTAAAATGCTAAACAATTAACATAGGGGTTCTCAAGCATATATGTACATCATATTGAGCCTCCCAGTATCCTTAAATACCATTATGTAAAATTTTTTAATACACTGGAAAGCAGTTGTTTTCTACACTAAGTAAAAAACTGTACACTAACCAATGTATAAAATAACAATTCTGATAATGACCTAAAACTAAAAGTTTATACTTTGAACCAAGTTGTGCACATTAGTACTTAACTGCGTTAAGAACTGATCTCACAACTTTGCAGTTTTGGTTTTTGCAATAACTCTCCCTTTACCACTTGTACGTTGAATTTGAAATTACTGCAAACTAACAAAGCATTAAAACAGTTTATCATTAGATGGAACACTTTGTTAGTTCTAACATGAATGCAGAGATCAAATTTTTAAAACCACACATACTAACCTCGACTTTTTTTGATAAATTAATTGTACATTTGAAATCAAGAAATGTTAAAACTCGGAACTGCTACCACTGTTCCTAACAATATAAATGCAAAGGTTTTAATAAACTTTCACAGTAATAATAATTACTATAATATTCTATATCTATTTTTAAAATGAAAACAATAATTAATCACATTTATCCGTAATATTAATATAGGTTTCACTTTTCATTGGCCTTATTAAAACAAATGGTTTTTTTTTGCAAAATCAAAACATAAACAGCAGTCAAACAATTTACTTTAAAAAATGAACTTAACCATTATCCATTCAAGTTAAAACGACTCTGGCAATAATTGAAATTTGTCTAAGCATAGACATCTGAAGTTAAATGTTTTACAGTAACACACATTTACGTTTAGGCTTAACTTGCATTACTGGGCATAGAACGGCTCTAATAGCCTCATCGAATACTGTTTTCAGTCCTTTTTGTGTAAGTGCTGAACATTCTAAATATTTTACGGCGCTAATTTCTTTTGCCATTGCTAAACCCTGAAAATAACTTGTATGTATCGATTCACAAAAACATTCCAATGTAATATTACCTGTGGATATGTAATGGGGGTCAGCTTTTTGTCTTTAAGTTTTTCAATTGTACCTCTATCATCTCGCAGATCTAGTTTTGTCCCCACTAAAATAATTGGTGTGTTCGGGCAATGGTGTCTCACTTCAGGATACCACTACAAGTATAACTATTAATTAGCATCATTTAGGTTATTCCTTGAAAAACTCACTTTCGCTCGAACATTTTCGAATGATGCTGGGTTTACCAAAGAGAAGCAAATTAGGAACACATCAGTTTGTGGATAAGACAAAGGTCTTAATCTGTCATAATCTTCTTGACCTGCAGTATCCCAAAGACCCAAGTTAATGGGTTTTCCATCAACCATTACATTGGCGGAATAATTATCAAATACAGTTGGAATATATTCGCCAGGAAAAGCATTTGTAGTGTAACTGATGAGGAGGCATGTTTTACCAACAGCACTGTAAACAAAGAATGTTTTAAAAAAATAAAGGAAACTGTTTACTACGGGCACGGTACAGATAAATTGAAAATAGCAATAAACTATCATTAAACAAACAAAGGGCTAGGAATATCTGCTCACAAAATTAAGCGATTTTACAAAGTAAACAAATCGTATTTGATAAATTCGGAACCCACGCCCAGATTTGTTAGAACGGAAAATCTGTAAAACATGAATCACAGCTTATGTTAAAATAATAAAAGAGTATTTCTAACTATTTAACATTAATTGCTGCTTCAGCCACAAGTGATAAAAAGGTTACGACTAGGCTTAATCACCGACGGACGTCTTGCATCCTGTCCCTGTCCAATACATTTGGGGCAACAGTGACGTATATTCCGATTCCATTAGAACACGAAACCCGTTTGATGTTGAAATACACAAATTTGAGATACTTACCCATCACCAACGACGACACACTTGATCGCCTGCATTCTGAGAAGGATTTTACCAAATCTGCAGCCCTTTTAAGTCGATTAAGCAGTTATGGGTGTGTGTCAAATTGATAGGACTGCACAAGGCCACGAAAGCACTATGTACCGCGCTGAACACATGCAATTACACTTTCAACCAAGTTCATTTAGATTACAATACCCATGAAGAGTATGTTTATGGCGTACCGAACTTCGAAGGTATCTCCACTTATCAGGTTAATTTTAAAAATTACCACACACTACGACAGCAGCAGGAGTGCAGAATTTCTCATAAAACATGACAGCGGACAGCCAGACAGGCTTCTTGTCAAATATCCCTAACCATCCGCAACTGTCATTGACAGCTGACATTTCTAAAAAAAAATATGTCACTAAATGGCAAAAGGTGTGGAAAACTGTAATTATTGCTGAAATCAAAAAACAATTTTTTAGAATTAACATCGTCGAGCTTGAATATATTTTGCATTAATTCTGCCGAAATGTCAATTTTAACATGCCAGTTTGTATTTTACAATACTTCAATGTTGTTATTACAACAAAACAGATACCAAATTATGTTTTACTTTTTTATAAATCGTAGAAAATATCAAAGATGCTTTTGAAATTGTATTTCTGGTTGCGTCTTGCATTTTTTAGGCGCGAAACTTCCCGTGAATAACCCTGTGTACATATCTTGATATTCCGAATACCGATATTTAATTTACGTGAAATTAATATACATACGTAATGAAGTACTTTATTACACGGTGGTCAAATTTTTTAATATTTATACCTAATTTGGTAGTAGGTACTAGCGATTGGTAGTCATTCAAAAACACATTCAAAATCTGTAGGCGAATACCAACCAGCTGCGAGTAAATAACCCTATTATTTTTATTTTGACATTTTACAATAACAAAATTGACAGAATTTACTGAAATAACCTAAAATCAGCACGTGTTGAAAATTTATACATCAAACGCTGCCAAAGTGATTTAAATTAGCAAATAAATTCGAAAGCGATTTGATTTAGTGATTTGTACGTGCTTTATTAGCGTGTGTTTTCCACCTTTTTTTTATGTCACTGGTTAGTTATTTCAGGCGACGGTTATTTCATAAGTAATAGATAATAATAAAAAAATGAAGAACAAGCACAAATCAAAATATGTCCACTCTGATGTTGGAGATGAAAACTCCAATGAGGTTCAGAAGAAATGGTTTGAAGAGGTAAAATATCTCATGTTTTAATAAACATGTTTTAAAAGGTCTTTTTAGAACGTTAGCGACCCAAAAGGCTTTCAACCGGTAACAGAACAAGTTTTAATAGAATTGAAAGATGAAGCAAAGAAATGTCTTGATTCAGATGTAGCGAACTACAATATCAGTAACATACTTTTCTCATTAAATGTATTATTGATTAATACAGTAATGTTGTAGAAAATGCGAAGAAAAACCCTAATTATAAATGGATGAAAACAGTCATGTCAAAGGGAACAGTTGCTGATAAGATAGCTGCATGTACTGTTTCTATTCAGGATAATCCTATATGCAGTTTGGATATTTTACAAAACTTAGTTAATATGATTAAAGTGGGTAAAAAAAAAGAATGCACAATGGTAATGGGTAAGTTTTTTAATTATGTAAAGAAAATTACATTAGTTAGAATATTTTTAGAAACTCTTACCGAATTATTTTTGTCAGACCTGTTACGACCTGATCAAAAGCTAAAGCCTTTTTCTCAAAGACCTCTTTCACTCCTGAATGATTTATCATCTGGAAATGCAGTGACTAGGAGAAAATTACTTGCTGTTTGGTATTTTGAAGACCAACTAAAAGAATTGTATACAAATTTTGTGTTGGCTTTAAATAATGTTGCCCATGATGTGCTTGACACCAATAAGGAAAAAGCTATCTCGGCAATGTTTAAATTGTTAGCTGGAAATCCAGAACAAGAAAAGGTAAGTTTGATTTATTTACTGCTTTTCATTTGAAAGTAAATGTGAACTATAAATAAGAACTAATTCTCATTAGAATGATGAATAACATCATATGTAGATTGTTCAAGTTGGTTTGTGAAGAATTATCATCAAAAGCTAACCCTGAGTTACAGTTGCGTGTGTCACACAAATAGCATGAAATCTCTTCTTTATATGATAAAAGTTTTTGTAGGTGGTCACAAACATAATAGTCTTTATACTCTGCTACACATCCTCTACGACTTTGTACTTCTGGTTTTGAAACATCTACATAAAACAGTTTTATTATTCACTCTTATGTGAACATATTGTGTTACCTTTATAATACAGTAGCAAGCATTTAAAAGTAACTTGACTGTCAAGTTGTGTGTGAACGTCTTTCCAATTTATTAGGTCTTTGGTGAACACACACGTTTGGAACATCGGTCTATTCTGGTCACATGTTTGTTTTACTTCTGCAAATTCAAGTTCCATACATATGAAACATGACAATAGGGTGTCATTATGCTCTTTTGAATACGATAAACTCGAACTGTAATATAATGCAAGACATACAATAAGCAAAAGTGACATCAATTTTTAGCAGATTTGAAGTCTTTAATGGTAAAATTAATGAGTTATCACCATGGTGAGTCGACCACCTATCACCATGGGGAGTTCACGGCCATGTTGTTACTGATTTTATATTATTTCTTTAACTAATGATTACTGAGACTTATGATAATTTAACAAATTTAACTGTCAAAATTCCGCTTCTTTGAAAAATTATAGAAAATTTGTGTTTTCTGATAACCTTTAAACATTAAAAACTAATGGTGTAAGTGACACCTTGAACCCTCTGCGCCGCGTGGGTGCAAGTTTCAAGGAGGTGGCGTCCGCAGATATACAGACAATATGAAATGTATTCAAGTGTATTATTATCAGTGTACATGCTTAACTTCGATTGTTTATGTTTATACATCGAAATAACGCCACGTAGAAATTTGTTTAATTTGTTGAGTTATATCCTCAAGACAAGACTAAAATTGTAAAGTGAGCCACAATGGAACAAAATATTTTGAATATGATTATTATTATTCTTATTTGATCATAATTAAATAAAAACGCGGGTATTCTCAGATTTTCTAGAAAATGAGGTTCTTAATTTGATCAATAAAAAATTGGTCGAAGGCTATAAGTATAATCCGACAGATCCAGCTCTTTAAAAATATATATATAAAATTTGATTTTACGATTTTCGTTTTGTAATAACCGCTATAAAGTAAAAACCAGAGGCATAAATAACAACCCTTGTCCTTCAGCACTAGGTAATAGCAATCTGAAGCCCAAGTATTCATTTATGTTTATACATCGAAAGAATGTCACGTAGAAATGAGTTTGATTTGAATGAGTTTGTCTTCTCAAAACAGGACTAAAATTATGAATTAAACTACACTCGAACAAAACGGTCTGAGTATTATAATTCATATGATACAGGATGCTGAAAAAATGGCGCACAACGCGCAACGGTACATTATTAAGTCCACAAGTCTAAGTTCGGGAAATACATTAAAAAATTCCTTACGTCAATTTGACATTCACTTACAGACATGAACAAAATATTGATTTAGACCGATAAATCTAGAAACTCTAAAATTTAGCCACACTTGTCCAATTCATTCTAAACAATTTTAAAGTTTTTTGTTATATTATAAAATGAAAACTGTGGATGAAAACAAGATACTTCCAAAATTATTTTGAATAATGGAAATCTAATTGATTTCATGTATGCAACTAAGGGCCAAGTTCGGCATTGAACTCACAGGACCGCAAGGTCGCCGTTCTTTCCGATACATCCACTGCGCTACGGAGACCTACAACAGTGTTGGGAATAAAACGTTATTATACCTTACAAATGTTTTTATGACAATTTGAACGTTTAACGAAAAAATTGAAAGCGGATTCGGACGCTACAAATATATAAGTATATTTTTGTGTAACATTAAAATCATTTTAAAGTACCATTCATTGAAATGACGTTATCAAATTCTTGGTGGGGATGATTAGCCAAATTTGGGTTAGCATTTAATTATCTACATGATATTTCTAATATATGCGTATACAAAATTTTACAAGAATGGGTCCAGCAGTTTCGGAGATTAATAAAAATGGGTACAGACACCAGACAGACAGACGGAAACGGGAGACTGCTTTTTTCGTACTGTAGGGATCATGAAACGTCGAAAAAACATAAAAGTGGCCATTCGTCCGATGGACTCGATTACAATACTTCTTTCGCTTACGCTTGAGAAGTAAAAGCAAGAAATTACATTATGTTAAATTAAGTATTAATTCAAGTTAATGATTAAATCAGAATGAGTTCATCACTATTACATTCCACGTGTTGATAGGATAGTTGAAAGTTTTACACATTTAAGATTAGAAAAACATTAATAAACTGATATTGCACTAATTACACTTGAGGATTGTGGTGTCGAATGCGATTCACTTTTATTTACACAGTTGCCCTTTTAATGAAGTTGCTACACAGAAGTCGCAAAGAGAAAATTGATGTATTTGTCCTCATCAAAAATTTGATGAGATCAATTTATCTTCGGACCTATATAATAGTTGCCTTTGACGTCTTAATAAAACATTGCGCTTGACCTAGTAATTACAGAATATTGACCAAAATTTATGACTTGTCCCCTTCAGGAATTGAATAAATATATTTTAAAACATACGGTCTGAGGTGCAGTGCTAACACACAAAATATTTGCCGATGCGTTTCACCAACCACATTGGCATTATCTAGACAAAGCTAAATTCTTTAGTAATTCTCCTAGTTTTTACGGTACGCATATGGGTTATTGTAAAAAAAAAATTGTATAATAAAATTTTCCAGTTTATTACGACTTTCATAACGAAATCTTGAATAACTCAGTACGTGCTTTACCAATGTTATTTTGTAAAATCTTCAAATGTGGGTATTGTTTTTATGTTGTGAATGATTTTACCCATTGTCTTGCAGAATTTACTTATGTATTTAGTGAATAAACTTGGAGATCCTTCTCAAAAAGTAGCTTCAAAAGCAATTTATAGTTTGGGACAGTTACTGTTCAAACATCCAAATATGCAAGGAGTGGTACTAAGCGAAGTAGAAAAATTACTATTTCGTTCAAACATTTCTTCAAAGGCACAGTACTATGGACTGTGTTTTTTATCCCAATTTTATCTAAGCCACGAAACTAGTGAAGTAGCCAGAAGACTCATGGAAGTATATTTCTCGTTTTTTAAAGCCTGCGTTAAAAAGGTAGGGGTAATTTCTATCAAACCAAATATACTTATTCCTAATTTTTATTAGGGCGAAGTGGACAGCAGAATGATGTCCGCTTTGTTAATGGGTGTTAATAGAGCATATCCCTATGCAAAACTGGAAATGAAGAAAATTTCAGAACATATAGATACAATTTATCGAGTTGTACATATTGCAAATTTCAACATCAGTTTACATGCCCTTACCTTACTGTACCAAGTTTCCGATCAGGAAGAAAATGTTTCAGACAGGTAAGGTGGTTGTTATTGTTATATAAATATTTAATTTAATTGAAATATAGGTTTTATTCAGCTCTGTATAAGAAACTCATTGATCCAAAACTGTTGACAACAACACACCAAGCTATGTTACTGAGTCTAATTTATAAGGCAGTCTTGAAAGACAAGGACCTTGCACGTGTGAAGGTTTTTATTAAAAGATTGTTACAAGTAAGAACGTCCATTACATACGTATTTCTTTAAAAAATAAATATATTTTAGCTTGTTTTGTTCATGCAGCCATCATTTGCATGTGGTGTTCTTTATCTTGTTTCCCAATTAATGGGTAAGAAAACCGGAATTCAATCTCTTATTTTGAAACAAACGACAGTTAATGGTCTAGAAGAAGATGACGAGGAGAAATATCATGATGTAAAGACTGACGAAGAAATAGAAATTAAACATGAAGTGAGAATTTGTCTAACATAAATGCATTTTCCTTTATTGAAATTATTATTATTTTTTTTAGAATGAAATTGATGAAGAAGATGAAGATATTAAACCTGACGTATCCATCCTCAACCAATCTGTATCACAACTGAGCTGGGATCACTGTGCTAATTTACGGAAAAAAGAAAATAAGCAACCAATTCAGTACAATCCTTTAAGTCGGAATCCTTTATATGCTGGTGGTGATTTTTGTGCATATACTGAATTAATTCGCTTAAAAAATAGTTACCACCCAACTGTAGCTTTGTATGCTACTAATATACTAGAAGGTGAACAACTAGATAGAATTTCACTGTTCTAAACCAACATTATATATTTTTCAGGAAACATAATAAAATATTCAGGAGATCCTTTAAAAGACTATACTTTAATACGATTTTTAGATAGATTTGTTTTTAAGAATCCAAAAAAATTTGAAGAAGGAGCTGTACAAGGTGCTCATCCTACTTTCGGAAAAAGAAAAATGTATCTTCCAAAAGGTATCCGGTCTTTGCCGGTCAATTCGACAAATTATTTAAATGAAAATTCCAAAAATATTCCCGTGGATGAATTATTTATGCACAGGTATAACGTCAGTATTTAAGAGGTGTATAATTTATGAGTACTTTTGACTTTTCAGCTACTTGAAGAACAAACAAAAAGAAAAAATTAAATCTGAAAGCAACGAAGACGACGAAAGCGACATAGAATCTGTTCAAAGTGAGGAATTTGAAGATATGTTAGATAAAATGGCGGGAATTTCACGAGAAGAAGATATAGATTTCTTAAACGAGATTGGAGATAATCTAAAGAAAAAAGAGAAGAAAACTAAGAATAAAAGTAAGTCTGAATAGTATATGATGTTTTACTATTAATAATAAAACTCACTATAATCAGAACAACAAAGCGAAGATGATGCTTCTGAAGAAGAAAGTGGCGCATCTGAAGATGAATTTTTGGAAGATGATGACGATTTTGATGAAGATAATGATATGGATGAAGACGATCTTGAAATGACTGAAAACGACAAAGGTATATCGAAATAATTATGTGTATTACATAACTCGAGTATGTGTTTTAGAACTCTTTGAAGATTTAGATGATGAAGATGAAGAATTTGTTTTTGAGGAGGAAAGCACCTCCAAGAAAAATAAATCAAAAAAGAAAGGCAATAAAGACGATAGTTCTATTTTTGCGTCTGCTGAAGAATTTGCGTCTTTATTAGAAGATGAAGGTAGTTCAAAATTGGCGCCTGGTAGTTCTAGCGCATTTGCTAATAAAGATAATGCAAGTAAGTAGGCTTATATTTGTTAAAACAGGTACCGAAACATTCATTTTTGCAGATGTTAAACAAATTGAATGGGAAGACCACAGAAATAGATGGTTGCGCGGTTTTGATAAAGCAGTAGGACAAAATAAAAGCAAACATTTTGGAAAGAAAAGGAAGAATCAAAGTAAATTTGAGAACAAAAAAAAGAGGGAAAGAAACAAGTGAATAACTGTTTAAATGTTAATATTTTTACTTTAAATCCCTACATTTTTATTGGTATTTATAAAGAATACTTTTAATTTAGTTATTAAAATCCTACTTCGCATTTTCTATCTTAGATCCCCTAAAAATTTTACCATTTTCCCCATAAATTTCCAACTGTATTTAGCAGCTCAGTTTAACAACAATTTCTGAGCGGTCTTGGAACCGTTCTATTACAGTTCAAACTTTGAGACTGTGGTGTTCTCTTCAAAATAGTAAAGGCAAACCAATTCCCTTCAAGCACGCAAATGTGTGCGCGAATTAAATTTTGGTAGAACCATTTCTCCACAGTCACCACGATTCATTCGCTTTCAATAGCCTGTTGATCTGCAGAACAAAGCACTAAGAAAAAATTAGAAGGAAAATAAGGCTTGTGGAGGAAATACATATATATTCATTTGTTCATGGTATGAGCAGTAGATTCAACTAGGCAGTTTTGCGTCTAACTAGTGCCTAGGCATATTTGCATATTCTTCTCAAAGTATTTCTGTTGCTATATTCTGACCTGTATTTACTTTAGGCAGTTTTAGATGTAAAGCTATATTGATTTTCTTGTTATATTTTTAATTAATTTTGGTTTTCTATTCAGCCTTATTTTCTTGCGTAAAAGACGTTTGAATTAATTAACTGAATTGTGAACTATATTGCCTACCAAAGACTAGAAGTATTATTCTATTATTCAAGAAGAGAATAATTCTTGTTTGCTTTTGAGGCGTGAATTTTATTTTTCCGCCAAAATTAAACTGGTTGTCCAGGGTACCAACGGAACCGTTTATATGTCACTAACATCAATGACATAAAGGCACGAGCACGACTACTTGTCAGTTGTCAGTGGATGTCAACAATTCATAACAAAAAGTGAATGTGTTTTTTCCGTAGTTTTTTCAAATTACAGAATTCGCATTTAAAATGGTTTGTGAAAAATGCCAGAAGAAACTCGGTAAAGTAATAACACCAGATCCATGGAAAAGTGGAGCTAGAAATACCACTGAATCTGGTGGCCGAAAAGTTAATGAAAACAAAGCCCTAACAGCCAATAAAAACCGATTTAGTCCATATACGTCAAAATTTGAAACTTGCAGGTAAGAAAATTATTCCATAAACTATTATTGCATTCTACATAACACTGTACTTGGCTCAGAATATGTAGACAAAAAGTTCATCAAGTTGGATCGCACTATTGCCAATCCTGTGCTTACAAGAAAGGAATATGTGCCATGTGTGGGAAAAAACTGTTAAGTACAAAGAACTATAAACAGTCTTCTACTTAAATGTGAATAGAGTGTTAGTGTTACTTAAAGATAGATTCTGACAATTTTATTAAACTTCTGTTTTTTACATAATGTAGTATTTTTGTGCACATTAATCTAAAATTGTAGAAGTACAAAATAAAATGTAATTAATTAAGCTCTAATGTATTATTATTTAAGTTTTATTGGATAACTTGTTAATACTTTCATGCCAAGGTACTAGCAGATGTATTTCTGTTCATTTTTAAAATAATAAGATTTAAAATTATAACTACTACAATTTCTGAATAAAATGTTTATTAATATAACTTACTACAGTATATATTATAATACAATTACTACAAGTACAAGAAATATGAATAGCCGATCACATTATTAGGTCCGATACGGACATATACTACAACAATTATCTACAAAATAAAAAATAAATTTTAGAACCACAACATATTAAAGAGGGAAGGGAAATCTATGAGTTAACATTAAATGTTATTTTGATTAATTCAGTAATTAACACATTTTACGAGATAACGAAAGACTGATTTATATAAATACTGTGTCTATACAAAAACTACAACACCACCTTAGACAAACATGGACGCCAAATTTCTGATTTGTACATCAAATTATTTATCCATTTCTACCATTCCATTACACAAAAAGTTTCGTAACACTTAGATATATGAAAGAAAAGATGGAAAACATATTCATTTAGGTAACACAAAATATACAAGACAAGAAAACATTTTTAACAAATAAATATCACATAAAAGTATAGTAACTGTAGTATTAAAGGCAAAAACGTAGATGAGTGAAAATTTTAAAATCTTTCTACATTCCAAGATATGAAAAATTCTAAACCTGTATTTAAAGCTGGTTTTCTCTTTTAGTCTATAACTAATCTAAAATTTTACTCTCAAATATATGCACTTTTCTTTCAAGCATCATAATTCCTGCCTTTTTCGTATAAGGCAACAAAGACCTGAACATTTGTTATAAAAAAATAACAAAAATTTAAACCGTATTACTTAATTTTCTTTCAAGTGTACTAGACTCGATTCCACTATCCTCATCGGCACTATCCAATAGACTAGCTTCTCCTCTAACACTTTCTACTTTACCTTTACTTTTACTAAAGTCATAGTCTTCTTTTATAATATGTTTTTGGAGTGGTTTATATGGTAATGCTTCAAAAGAAACATTTTTCCCCGTGTTGATTTCATCATCGGGTGGTGTATCGACGTGTTGTACTAAAAATCGACTTTTACCGAATGTTGTAAAAGTTGGCTTCTCCCTGTTTATCACAGGATCAATAATAGGTTCAATACTGAACATCTTATTAGAAGTAAAAGCACTTGGACTAGGTGGCAGATCAAGTTTCAACTTATTTCTAGTGTGTCTCAAACCGCCCAAGACATCGCTATGTTTTAGCTCTTCGGCTTTTCTACTTTTCTTTACAGCTTCAGATGCTAACTGCTTCAAAGTGGGCACATTTTTATAGTGTAATCTGAAATCATCTTCACTGATTCCAGCTGGTGTTATATCTTCCACTCCACTATCTGGTGTTGCGTTGTCACTTGTTTTATTTAAGTCAGTCCAGTTTCCTGGGAAGAACTGAGAACTTAAACCACTTATCATGTCAAAGGGCTTGGCTGAACTGCTGATGAAAAATTCATCGTCAATTCCAGGTTCACCTAAAACAGTAGCAATGTATTCATTCGCTGTTGAGAAAAGCAATTCTTACTTGTAAAGTCTGTTACACTACTCAGCTGGTACATATTTATATTTCTACTAGGTTTCGGCTGGTAGTAATTTTGGGAAAAGTCGCAATCGTCGGAGTTTTCAGCAGGAACGTAAGGATCTGTGCCATCTAGTTCCCAGTCTAAAATTCGTTGAAAATTATTATGTATATTAATGGTTATAGAAATGAAACGCAGTGAACGCTAGATGGCATTCAAATTGAAAAAGGATGATGGCAGAATCATGCAACAGGGTAATCGTGCAAGCTAATAATGTACAATGTTTATGATGCGCAAAACTACTGAAAACCGTTAATTTCAATTAACGTCTCTCACCATCGAAACAGCTATAATCTGGTTGTGGTTTCCACAAATCGTAACTGTGCAGCACTGGACTTTCTGGTTCTCTTGGATACTCATATACACAATGATATTTTTGTTTCTTAAACCACACACCTTTCGATTTTTTCTAAATAATGAACATGTAAGATTTTGACTTTCTTCAATTAAAATGACTTACTTTTTCAGTCTTTTCAACAGTTCTTTCAGGCGATCTTAACGCTGATTTCGTCGGTGTTGCATACTTATCCCACGCAGAAGGAACAAATTCTGGACTCTCTGCGTCGTCATCACTACCGCTACTCTCGCTTGACGTTTCTTCCTGTATACCTTCCATTGGTTGAATATCATCCAACTGTAGAAATAAAGTTTGCGCGTATCAGATAAAATTCATCAAGTTTAAGTTAGATTTGTTATAAACGACAGCGTAAAACTAATGCGTTTAAGGACGAAATTGCAAAAACAACATTTACTATGAGAAAGCATACTTACCACATCTTGTGGGGCGGCGCGTAAGGCCTTGAGAGACTCTTCGTGCTCACCCTCCTATATCAAACATACATACAGACACTTCTATATACAATGAAGGCACAATAATTACAAGTTTAGTGTATGAAACAAACAAGACGTGTTAAAAACAAACAAATAAATTAATAATTAAATGATAACTAATAAATTAAACGTTATGATAGATAACAGGAAAAGCAAACCAAAAACTGAACGCACAAAATTATAGCAGAAAGCGTGATATCGTTGTATATTGTAACACGTGACTGACACTTGCGTTAAATATTACTTTTCATGATCAAAATAATATGAACAATAGATGGATGAACCACAATAGTGATTACTAAATATTGCTCAGATGGTTCCAAATAAACTTCACTCAGAAATTTGGATACATTATTACATTGTGTGTAGCAGTGAATTGTATAAAAAGTTATTAAATTGAGTGTCACGCCGATTTTAATTTTTATATACATTTTTTTGTTCTCTAAAATATTTTGATAATTTTGGTATTTGGGATATTACAGTTAATTCCCATCTCTATTCTGAAGTAGTGTGCAAGGATCTTACATTTTTAAATCTCTCTCTCTTTTCTTTATTCACTACTATCAATATAACAATACATACGAACTAGTGACTTATAATAAGTGCAACAGCAATTAATTGGAGATTGCGTACAAGCTGCCAACCTCCAAAGCTAATCCAAAAACCCGTAATAAAAAAATATCAAACAGCAAAGAAACATAACTAAGTGTCAATGAAATGAAATATTAATAGCGCGGTTAGTCATAAAAAAATTATGACATAACACTTATTTGTAGCAATGTATGGTTATAATTTACAATAGCCCCTCACTGTAGAAATACCTACCTTCCATATAAATTCTCCACTGGAACTGGATCTGGTGTCCGACCCGCTATCCCAATCTTGCTCATCATTAATGTCATTACTTTCGCTGAAAGAAGTGGTCATCAGCTGACTGTCGCTAGGTCCACTAAACCTTATGTCAGTTAGAACACCAAATATGTCACGTTCATCATCTTCATTATTAATAATTAAATCATTATTCTGGGCAAAATTGTTTCCATAATCTGGACTGCTACAGTCGGTTATGTCCTCAATAATGTCCGTAATTTGTTTATTGTTAAATTCGGCCAAGTTCTTTGAATTTTCCAAATTCACAATGTTCACATAATCGGCTTCGTTGTAAAAGTCGTCCAGATTTGTAACATTTTCGTAACATTCAGTGCTTTCAGCTTTATCAACATTCGCATAATCGTGTTGTTCAAGTTTATTCAGGTCACAGTTACTTTCTTCAGGAACATTAACATATAATATTTCTACTTTGTCTTGCATGGGTTCCTGAGGTTCAGGTACAAGTTCATTTGATTCTGGAGCAGGCAACAACATATTTTGAGAAATGACTTTGTCGTAACTTAATAAAGAAGCAGGCAGTTGTTTCCACGGTTTATCTTCTGGCGATGGCAAGGGGGCAACTTGTTTATTCGTAAAAGGTAATAAATGGTCCGTTGATTCAGAATTTGATTCTTCTAATGTTTCATTAACTTTAACACAATCATGCTCTCGTTCACTCTTTAAAAATTCTAACACTAGATGTTTATCAACAACTTCCTTCACTGTATCACTAATATCAATCGTTTTGCATCCACTGCATGAGTTGTCACTATCACATTTCGTACCTTCCTCCCCCAACGTTTCTGCAACGACAATTTTTTCATCCACATTTCCAATTTCATTGGTCATGCTATGAATCATCATATCACTTGGTGCTTGCATCATATGAGAGTTTTCCTCCATATACTGTGATTCATTTTCGTAAGTTTTAAGGGTGGGTGAATTATTGTCTCTCTCTGAATCATTAACGGCATATGTAAGTTCTTCTAAATTAAATAAAGTATCGTTTGAACAACATGAGTCTTGACTAGGAGTATGTCTGTGGAGGGGTTCTGGATGAATCGAACTCTCAAGCGTCTGACCTGAATGGCAGTCCATTTCAGGTTCTAAACATTCACGACCATACTGGTCATCTGACCAATCACTATCTTCATTTTCATCTTCACTGTTATGTTGCCTAAGATTTAAGTAGTTGTATTTAAGCGTTGACTTTGAAAGTTGAATCGAAATTGACTCACCTTGGTGTATTGAAGTAGGAATCATCAATTAAACTTTCTTCTGGTATTGGTGACAATGGTGTATTGTAGACGTTATATCTAAGAAACACTTCGTTCCTTTCAGCAGAATCCCATTCTTCTTCATCATGGACTGCGCCGCTAGAACCTCCCTTAAAAACGTATGAAAAGAAGGTTGAAATTCGTCTAAACTGCGATATTTTTTAAAATCGCGAATTGTCATCTGATACAATTTCAACCCTTATACCATTACAAACTTTACAGAACAGAACTTTTAAAACGTTATTTATTCGAGCTTCATAAAACTTTATAAACGAGAGTTCCGTTATCGACATTTACCCCTGTTTCATTCTACGACACATTGATATGTTGTAAGATATCATTAATGAGATTTCGTTATGACGCTGTGCTCATGTGACAAACACGTAACGTCAAAAATTTTTATCGATGAAACTTAACTTATATTAGCTGTTTTATATATATATTTTTTTAAATATACATATATATTTTTTATATTCTCTAATGTAATGCATATGCTATATTCCAAATAACTTCACTGTGTTACTTACTGGTCGGTTTATTAATAAATAATGACAATTAGTTTTTCATCACTGACCTACAGAACACTCATAATTCTAGAGAACTTACTAGACTATCGTTGAGATCATAATACAGTTGGAAACGTATAAATTAAAAAAAAAAAGCGAGGTTTTGGGTCAGTGTTGTCAAAATGGCTTAACGCAAATAAGTTTGGTGTTAAAGAATCGCCATATGGAAGAATGTCAACTGTCATTAGTAGCTGCTAATTTTTTATGAAAAATTTCTAAACATATGACTCAAATTTTATATTGCTCCGTATGAACAAATAAATACCAATGTCATCATTCCATAAAGATAACAAACCTTACTTAAATAAAAGTGACTCAAAACTTTATAAGGACCGTAGTTTCAATTGTATTTAAAAAAAAGTTTGTGTAATATGTGAAAGCATTTGTTTTTATTTGAATTAGATATCACATTTGCATTTTGACATTAAAGTTATTATGTCATGATGTGCAAAATAACTAACTAAAGTTTTGAAGGTTTATTTAATTCTAAATAAATAACTAAATAATTGACTGAAAAAAAAATTATCACTTATTGATAGTACACTTGCGTCTTTATGTTACTTTAATTATACTGCTACGTAGAGTACCATATTAGGTCTGGCTATTAATTACATTTTAAAACTGTAAATGAAAAAAAAAAAAGACAAAAGACGGACACGAAATTTTCAATTCCCGTTTCAGATACACTAAAAAATCCTAGGTATCACTGAAAACTGGCATCCGGCCCAATATGAAGATTGCTTTGATATAATACTTGTCATTCAGTACATCGTATTTCTGAACTTTTGTTTTAATTTTTAAAATATTAATCATACACATAATGCGTTTTAAAATTTATAGTAAACAAGATTTTGTTTTTATGAATCTTAAGTGGACCAAAGGAAAAAATATAAAAAAGTTTCCACTGACAATAAAAATTTTGAATTGATTACCTCTTTGTATGACACAAATTATTTTTGACTGCATTAAATATCTCCATTAGAAAGTGTGATTTTAACTGTAAAATGACAAGTAATATCGTTTTAACTACTTACTTGTGCTTGTGGTAATTTGTTCAGAAGTTCGGTTCGAATAGCGGCCATAATTTCATCATCCACATTAAAACCTACATAACTATCTGTATTGGCGTTTGAGGGCACGGTCATTTCCCCGGAAATATCATGATTTGACTGCGGATGTAAAAACCAGCCACCCCCATTATTATCCCAACAATTATTATCTTAAAAATTGAATTAAAAAAATTATTTCCTTTTTTTATAAAAAATTAAAATTACCTTCTATTTTGGTGTTAGATTCAATCTCAATGTTGACATCACTGAGGTCAACAATATTTGGTTCCTTCGTGAAAGTGGAGTCCCTATTCTCACAGCATAAATAAGTTTGATTTTGGAGTTCCGTATCTTCTTTTTTCATATCACAAACCAACGTATCATTTTGAGTGAACAATAAACTATGCGGTTCTGACGAAAAACTATCGAATAATTCATGTTCTTGTGATTCGTTTTGATTATCTAGTGCTTTTCCCAAAAAGTTGTCCCACGTTTCGAGGGAATATAAATTAGAGTTTCCATTTTCAATAATTTTGTCTTCAGCGGCATCGTTGAATAAATTTAAGCTGCAGAAACCATCTTGATGAGGAAGTTCTTGGAGACTTTTCTTGCCAAACGGTGTGCTGGTGTATACACTGGAATGTGTTAGACTGTTCGGCATTGCTTCATCTTGACCTTCACTTAAATCAAATGCCACTTTCGGTGGTTCTACATGATGATAATTTTTGATTTCTTCTTCCAAAAATTCTTTGGCCGCTTGTATGTCGTCCTGTTTAAGTACTGTTATTTCATCGTTAGACGACATTTCCAGACTATCTAGATCGTTTCCTTTTCCTAGACTCTCAGCTTCATATTTAGCTATAATATAATCCATCAATTCGTCGTTATCTTGAATTAGGTCCATCAGTTTCGGCACCTGGAAAGTTTTTCGTGCAATTGCTTCTTTTTCTTCTACATCTGAGCTAGTGATATGCGTGGTTTCATGAACAAAAGTATTATTAAACGAATCCTCATCATTCATGTTTTGTGTCAAATTTACACTTTCTTCTATTTCAAACAGTTCCGTTTGGTGCTCTGCTTCGTCTGCACATTTTGGAGATTCCGCTCTATCATCCGTCGATAATTCATTGTGTAACTTTCCTTCCACTGCATTTTTCAGAGATTCTGTGGACTCTACTCTGTCACCTTCCACACCTGAATCGTACATAATTTCAGAGTTGTCGTCTTCACTCAAAGCTTTTTCTACACAATTGAAAGGTAAGGTGTTACGATTAAGATAATTTACGAGTTCAGAATTACACTGTATAATATCTGAGAGTTTTGGAACTTCAAATCCTTCAGTTTCTTTAACGACGCATTCATCTTCTTTGAAGTTGATAAGTTCTTCTAGTTTTGAAGGCTTTAATCGTACGGGACTGTAGTTATCTATGGTAACATTGAACACATTGAACACTTGGTTAGCAGGTTTTATTTCACTAGCGCTATTTAATTCTTGTAGAATTCTCTTACTAGGCGAGTTTTCTAAATAATCCTTGTTAGAAAATGAACTAGACACAACACTACGTGAAACATCGGCATTAACAGTGTCATCACGCGCACTATCACTTAACAAGTTTTCACTACTGTTGTTTTGACTACTGTTTTCAGGTACAAAAAGCAGACTATCTCTCCGTTCCTCCTGTAATTTTCTCAGTTCATCTTGAAAAGTATCTTGTACGTTCAAGAGATTACCCTCGCTTCCGAACATGAGACCAACATTTTCCAAATTCTGCTTAGGCGCATATCTTACATTTTTATAATTCGTTCTATAATCTAAACTAGGCAAGGGAGTTTCAGATTCCGATTCCGAAGGATCGATGTGAGTTAGAATCATCAAATCGGCTACAGATCTAGATTTCTGACGCACTTTTTCTGTATAAGCTCCGCGTTCGATCTTCTTCTTCCAGTTTTCTTCCTCGGTTTCACTACCACTGCTTGTTCTTTGCGCAAAAAGAAAACTGTCCATTAAACTGTCGTTCTGATTAGGTGATTCTGGAATTTGTAGTTTGGTTGTAAGAGGACCAAGTTGAAATTCCAGTTTGGGGTTGCTTTTAGGTTTTGGACTTTGGTGGTGGCTAGAATCGGAACTTGTACTGTTTTCTAATGCTATAGCGTTATCTAGATCTTTTATGGCATCTGATAGTCCTTTAACGTAAGACATGTCGCCAGTTTTTGTGGCGACATTTTCTAACCACGATTCCATCTGTGATTCTGAACTATCTACTAAGAGATTGTCCAATGAACCATGTAAATTATTTAAACTAGGAGATAAAGGTTTCGACGTTCTTATCTGCGAGTCCTCCAAATCCATCTCAGTATTATCAATGTGGTTGTCAGTCTTGACAATACTATTAGGTTTAAAAGACTCCCATCGCTTATCAAAATCTTTTATGGAAACGTGCGATTCCAACTGCGTAGATGTTGTGTTTTTGTAAACTTGTAGCAACTCTCCTAACATCAGATCGATTTGTGCCACCGCAGGTCGAGATTCACTACTAGTCCAACAAAGTTGCATTAAACGAAAACTAAAAACAAAAACAATAAATACTCTAAACATTACTAACTAAGCATAAACTCACATGTAGTCGGTATATAATACTTGATACTTAGGCCTATCTAATCTAACTTTCTGTGAACCCACAACCTGGGAGACAACTTCATCGTCACTCAACGACGAGTACGGTTGTTCTCCACATTCGTAAATTTCCCACATAGTTACACCTAACGACCATATGTTAGCTTCTAAAGTTATTTTCTTCGGTTCTATTGTTGTGGAAGTATACGAAAGTGATTCTGGTGCACACCATCTTACGGAAACGCCAGGAGATCCCAAATAATAATCTTCTGGATACTGAAAAACTGCTAGGCCGTAGTCACCCAACTTTAAAGTTAGGTTGGAGGTAAGTTGGCAATTTCTTGCGGCTAAATCACTGAAAAAAGCATAGGTAAAAAAAGTTTAACGTCAAACACTGTTTATTTACGGATGAGTCAATCTATTTTCATGCAGGTGTTTCAAAGCTGAACTGAGTTGGCAACACCAAAGCAAAGGATGTTCAGTGGACAATAACGTTTCGGCTGTTGATTTATTTTTGCGCAAATAATTTTTGAGATCACCCTAAAACAACAATAGTTACATTCATTGTACAGAGTATTTCTTGATTCGTTACATAGGGACAATATTCTTGAAGTAACAAAAGTGGAATTGTATCTAAACATCTACCAAACAATGTCAGTATATTTGGATGGGCACCATGTCGATATATAGTGGCGTCGTGTAGAAATACAACTCTTTCCCTGCTTGATGCTGTCGCCTCTAAAATTCGAACCACCACAGGTGTCCATTTTTTATCACCCTCAATATCTTGTGCTGCACCTTCCACCACCTAAAGATTATATTAGAACAAATCTATAAGAATTCGATTCCACATACCCTCCCGAACCACCCTTTGCCGATTTCTTTGATATATTTAAGTTTAATTCGTGGAAAATCGGTTTCGGTACCATCTACAAATAACGATGTGATTCTGGTGATATAATCGCATACAAAGCTACTTACTGAACCATGAACTCACGTCGACATCACCAAAAACATAGTCTTCTTGAGTTCGCGTCTAAAAAATATGTATCAATTTAAATTGAAAGAAAAAATATTTAACATACAATTATCTGTTGATTGGCAAGAAACACGTTATTGTTTTGAAGGGGCGGGGATAATGGCGTGAATATCGTAAATTCGCCGTTGGCAACAGGGTTAATGTGGCCATGGTCCAAATTCGAAGCTGTTGATGCTACTACAGGGCTATCCCTGAACTCCTATAAGGAAATCGTAAGGTAACAGTTAGATGAAAAAAGAAAGTTTGCGTTTTTACGTAAAAATTAACAATCAAATCATTTCACCCGAAGAATGTCAATAATTTCGCCTTGAATCTAATGAAATTAAACAGAGTGTGGCAAGGTACAACTCTGAAAGAATAGTGATTACTTATAGCAACAATTATTTAATACTAATTATACGCCTTTCTCTAAAAATCAACGCATGTAAATGATGTTTTATTACGCAAACAAAAATAAACGATTCATGATTAACAATACATTAAATTGACCGTACAACAATCAGTGTTAAGTACTTTATGCGCATGAACTGATTACTTTAATAAATACAGATGACTAAAAAACCTCACACACGAATCAAAATCAAACTATATAAACAGCGTTGTATCTTTTTATACGTCGGATATTTTACTCGCAAATAATCTGAAAATCCACAAACCATAATTTATCTACCAAAACGATAATAAGTATAAACATGCACCACAAACTGTTACCTTTTCCTCATCCTATATTGCGGGCAGAAAAAGAAAGTAAATGTTAAAGTGAAGAAAGCATGAAGACTTCTTAATGAGAATAAATCCATAAAATTAATTAAAACAAATACAGCAGAAATATGAACATGGTATAACTGTTGTTAACTCGGTGTTGCAACTTAAATGCTAAATAACACAACTTCACCACTTTGACGTTTCTGTACATTAATGGAAAAGTTTGAAAACAACACCATTTATGACGACGAGAAATAAATTACTTATTCTGAGCTTACCCTTCAGTTTCTATTCGATAACCGTATTACTCCTTTTTGTCACTCCATTTTCGACATACATAATTCTATTCATCTTTATGAAAACGAAATATAAGGACAAATGATGAAACTCAACAACATTATAGTGGAAGGTGATCGATTCAAAAACTACTATAAAAATACCATACATACTTGTATCAACAGTAAATAAACTGGAATACCAAACGAATGTTTCATTAATCAACGACGGTGAAATTAATTCTTTAGTACCTAGTAACAAAAATGAATAATGATTCAAGGTTTGAACAGGTACACTTACCAAAACAAAATGTAAAAAATTATATTTTGTAGTAGAAAAGAAAAATCCATATAAAAATTAGCAAACAGTTATAAAGATACTCTCAACATCAACAATTAATTAATTACAGTAACATAAAAAAGCGTAATTTTAAGAATCCGTCACGACAACGGAGATTAAGTCATACGTAGGGTGTTTCATCCCAAATATTTTGCCAAAATTAATTCAAAATTGCTATACACACAGGAAAGAGATATACAAAAATTTGATCTAAGATCATTTAGACAGAACTTTCCTTGCGCCTGAAGCACCAAAGAAATCCTATTTTTGAATCAACTATGAAACTGATTTTGCGAAATTTATTTTTTTATTATATTTCAGTAAAATGAAAATGTGTACGTATTACTGAAGTACAGGCAAACAAGCATGATACGCGCATATTTCAAATTCATTTTTCTTAACAGAATTTTACGATCACCTCATCGACTTCTTAGTAGGTTTAAATATATCAGCTTAGATCGGTACAGATCAATAACAACAATACTCGATTCTCAAAATTTCACGAAAATAAGATAATTCGTTTTTTATTTAATCAATAATTAAACTCAATGCTTTAGTTTTTTCAGATATTCTACACACGTGTAGACGCATAATAAATCGCATGATTTAGATAACATTTTTCTAGTAAAATTTACCGTGCTTATATTCACCGTTTAAAGTGCAGATGTTCTCAGACTAATCGGATGTTAATTGGTAAAACCTTATATTCTTCCGATTTTTTTTTTTCAAAAATCTAGATGTCCAAGGTAAAACGTAAATGCATATTAATCACACGTAAAGAAAGATTATTTTATAAAATTTACGTAGGATTTACCTTGCGAAAGCTTGAAATGACGTCGTCAAATTGTTGATGGGGATAAGACAAATTATGTTTAGCACTTTACCATTTAAACGGTATTCCCAAAACATGACAATCGGTTCAGACGACACACAAACGAAAGCGGGAGATCTATTTTTTCAATTGTAGGAGTAGTGAAATTTCCCTAGCTTACGCGGGAAGTAAAACAAAAAATCTACGTTCGCAATAAAAACAAGAAAGTGAAGACAAAATCGATGGTAGTCGCATTTAAAAAATGTTAGTTGCTTGTGTGCATTTCTTTAATAATGTTATACTATTTTGTGTTTATAAATAGCTTTTGTTTAGTAGATTCCTTGTCTACTACCACATTATCTACTATACAAGTATGTAGTAGTTTTGAAAACCTTTTGACAGATCGAGAAGAAAACGAATAAGCATATTCATACATATATGTAGATATGTATGTTTACCGTACTCTTAATATTTCGCTGACTGTACAATAAGTACCTCATTTTTTTGAGGATCGACATAAAGTGATTAAACTTTTTTTTAATTTATACCCTATGTCTACGTTTTTAGTTTAAAAAATCACAGTGATAAGAAAAAATTGCGATTAATATATCATCTTGTATACATATTGTTACTTTAACCGGTACTTTTTCTGTCATGTGAAACAATGGCACTTTTTTTTAATAAAACATTGCCAGGTTTGTGTTACTTGAAAAAAAGCAAATGTGTAAAATACAGAGTATTTTATCAAAAAAAACAGAGCCAAGCGACCTTCTATATTCCATACAAAGTAATTAATAAATTATAATGAATTATTTTTTAAATACTTGACGGCGATTTCTTTTTACATAAAAATTCCAAAGAATGGACTTCAAAAGTACTGATTTAATGATTATTTTTGCCACCTATTCCTGTTTGTAATGTTATTTAAGATAAACAAGCCTTTACTTCTGTTGTTGATGTAAATACAAGTGTAATAACAAAAATCGGAATGTGTAGTAATTATCATAACTATGTCATCAGTTCGTTAAAACTCAATAATGCAATATGAATATCCTCTAAAAATTAAATACTTAAAAACTTTAATCACCCGCGTGACATTAAGAATATGGAAAAAAATGCCAAGGAAAACTGTTTTCCGCCTATAATAACCACTGACTTTTAAAAGTGTTAATGGTTGTAACTTGACATTTGTGTAGAATTATTTTCTGTTGCAAGTGTATTTAAAATATTTCATTAACAGAATTCAAAACAATATTTAAACGTTAATTAACAGTGGACAGATCCAAAAGCAAATTGAAAAATGGCATTCATCTTTCTGAATTATTGGCACGGAACTTCTAAAACGGGAAAAAATTCAAAGCACTGTGTATCTGCTGAGGTGATCAATGTAAATCACAATACATATAAATTACAATGACTGGAAATTGTGCCGTAAAAACCCAAACCAATACAAATTTAATTGGTCATAAACTTTCCTAATCTGTAAAAAATAAAATACTGCAATATAGATAGCCATGTTAGCTACACAATGCACAAAAATGCGACACAAATAACCAAACTAAAATGTAACAATAAATTAGCCAACGAAAATAAATATTTCGTTCTGCCTTATTTTCTCATTATATTATTGCCCAACATTTTAACTTATCTGAACTCGGACGTCCTTTTATCTTTTCTGCGCTACTATTTAATAATGAATTCGCCATCACGCACGTTGTTACAAATTGAAGGAAAGAACACGCCCGTCGCATCAATTTTACTTAAAGTTTGACAACATTGAAAGAAATAACAACTGACAAGGATGGCATTTACTCAATAAGATAGGAACTTTGGATTACGAAGCTTGTAAATTATGCAATACGAACCTGATAAAAACCGTTTTCTCTGCGTTTTTATTTACATTAAATTGTAACTTCCGTGTTACCTATTACAGCATTATTTAAACAGTTACGATAAGAAATTACGCCGTTTCATACAAAAATTATAAGATGCTATTCACAGATAAAAAACGATGCGTAACACGAATTGAGGTTTCACACACAACACACGCAGACAATAACATTGTTATTTATTACTTTGCTTTTACCACTAAACATCTTGAAATTTTCGCCAGGACGATTTTAAATTTATAAGGTCAAAAATGATCAAACGTTACATTTCGAGAGTATTTATTATTGATGGAGAGTATTTATTTTATCACATTCTTTTGCAAATGACGCGTAATACACAACTCTGAAATTTCCTCATGGAATCATGGTGGTGTCTAATTATAATTAATTTAATAATTATTCATCGATATGAAATTTTTGATAGAATTTTACGTTACCACTAAACTAATAATAACCATAGTTAAAATATAAAATCAATTAAAAGGAGTTTTAAATTTAACCCACCATAAAAATAATCAAACGGACGGACCTTAACAAGATGATGTGGGACATTGAATACAGATTTTAAACTAATCAGGTGTGGAACATTACACAGCTTATTAACTTACTGAAATTTTTATACCTAGATGCAAAAAATTAACGTTTTTTGTTATGACTAACTGAAAACTAAACAATATATTCAGATTTATTAAATTGTAAGGGTTACTTTAATTTTATAATTATAATTTTTCAAAGAAGCTGAATTTGTTCGACTGTATTTCAGGTGTATGGACCAATTTTTGTGTTATGAAATTCTCATTATTGAGTTAAAAAGAATCGACAAGTCATTAAACAAGCAGAAACAATCGCAAATTGCAAATTCTGTTCTGAGTTTATGGTTTCTTAGAATAATGCATTTAAATTAATGCAAAATCGAGTCTTCGATAGCTAGCAAGGGAGCCGTTAACGATCCACTGTTTTCTTTGATATTTCGATGTATATGGTTATTATGATGACACCTTATTTAGAATTGCTTACACAGAATGACTCAAAAAACTAATGAAAGAGGTAATTTATTTTACTGATTAAATCAACAATGGCTCACCCAATTTTCCAGAAAATTAGGGAATAAAGCACTGTTATTCTTAGTATTACACTGCACCTATCCAAATTGATATACGTGTCCTTGCTAGAATGCTGATGACGTCATCACAAAATTTTGTAATTGGAAAATTTGAAGCATGTGAATACTTTACCTACCTTTATTTTACTATACACGTATACATATATTTATTTTAACTTATAGGGATTATTATTGTATCTTATAAATGTTCCAAAAAGTTGGATAAGTTGTTCTGTACTTCAGGAGTCACCTAAGAGTTTTTTTTGGGAGAATTTTTTTGAAGACATCAATTTAATTTCTCCAAAATTTTTAGGACAGAATAACAATGTTAAATTATACTAATCTAGTGCTCCCGTGATCCCTTTTATTTTTTTTTGTATTTAATTAGTTACTATTTTTTATTTGCCTAGTATTAATTTCATGTTTTCTCGACGTTTCATAGGACCTTAAATATGAGACAATAGTTCCCGGTTTTCATGTGTTTTTTGAGATTTTACAGTTATTTAAAACAGTGAATTTGTTTAATTGTGCTTCAGGGGGCGGAAGTTCTGTCTAAATAACTTATTTAATAATGTACATACAACTTATAGAGGTTAACAAAAACAGATGTATTTATCCAAGTTATTTGTTAGTAATAATGAAAAATAAATTACAATTAATGTAGAAAACATAATTAAGATAAAATAGTGTTTCACCTAAGATCCAAAAAATTTTATATTATTATATACTAAACACTCACGAATATTGTAGTATTATTAAAATAATGGATAATAATAATTAATAATGATAATAATTGTTTTGGGATTAAATTTTTGTAAAAACTTCAATTTAAAAATGTGGGTTGCAAAATCATACAATTAATTTTTTTGAAGTTCGCGCAATAATGAAGTTAACTGATTTTTGGAAAATTTGTGAATATATTTATGCATTAAATTAATGTCAGTGTTTATCAAAGGAAATATTCCAAAGATGTACCGGCCTTGAAAATGTGGACACCCAACCGTATCACATTATAAAATCCCATGTTTTTGTTGATGACGTATTTTAAGCGTACTTTTATTTGTCATATTTTAAAATTAAATTTATTTTGATTATTGTAATTTCCAAAATCCTGTTTCGATTGTTGCTCCAATCCTAAATATTTCAACAATTTCCTCACAAAAAATTTCAAGATTGTTTGGTATTTATTTTTCAAAATCAGCGTTTACATATACAATATTTCATTAATTATATTTAGGTCATCCTAAATCATAAATATATATAGAATCTAGTGAGAAAAAGACGACTATTCTAAAAAGATTTTTCCTAATAAATACGGTAGGTACGGTATTATTTCCTTAAATAAAGAGGTGTTTCAAATTTGGGCAGTTTTTAAACACGAAATTAGACAAGTAAGTAAGAACCGTAACTACTTTTGCTTTTTATTCTGCTATTTCAACTTTACAACGGATTTAGTAAAAGTTTGAGTGATATGCAGGATTATAAAATTGCTTTTCATTTTTATGATTTATTATTCATAAAAATATCCGAATACCACTCTTTTCAAGTGCAATATTTTCCAAGTATATTTGGTTTTTCACTGTAGGTTAGCTGATGAATGAATTTAAATATTTAAATACGTCAAAGACTACACAATGTCTAGAATACGCGCGAGTTCATTGCAGAATAAACAAATGTCTCTCGAACCTTTCCACTGAAGAATTGTAGAACAATCTCAATTCATTTATTTAAACTACTGTATCAGAAACTAACTAAAACTGCACCTGGAGTGAATATCTACTATAAACTTTTTTTATTCACCTTGAAGCCACATGAACTCCTAACACGATTCAGAAGTTCAAGACATCGATCTCAATAATCCGAGACCTTTCCTTTAATGATAAATTGTAGCAACTTGATTTTGTAATTTTTTTATACAATTACTAGTGCATTACCCTTCGAAAAAGTGCCGCCGTCTTCATTTAATACAATGTCTGACATGTAATAGTGGTATCTTGTAGTGAATCGTCCAACCGGATGAAGACTTCCCGTTTTAAACTCGACCAACAAACACGACATCAATGATAAAGAATCCGACGAGGAACACGTATTTTGTTTAAACTGGTCAGGATTTCCACACGAGATACCATACGAAGAAATCGTTAACTTGCAATATACCATAAATCTACGGTTTTTCTAGTTACTGGAAGTAACTGTACGTATGTACATATGTCTATTACTCTTTTAGAAGAAGTAAGCTCAGTATTTTTTTTTTTTTTTGGAAATGGTCAGCAATCAGAAGTATCGTTTATTTAAATGTTAGATTTGTTGGGCGTATTGATTGTATAATCATTTAGACGTTTTTTTTGTATCTTTTAGCTACTTAGCTGCCTCCAAGAACTTAGAACATTCGATAATAACGTGCCCTCATTCATTCCGTCAAAGTGGTGCTGTTGTATTTTTTTCTTTTTAATAAGCGAGTAAACTAGATACAACTTGAAACGTAAGACACGCTAGTGAGAGCGATTCGGTTAGCATTTTATATGATACGTGGATATTGCTCAAACCGCAACAAAAGTTTTGATCGACTTACAAAGGTTAACATAATTATTTGTCTTCGAAGGTATATACATTTAAAAGAATATTTCATTACAAAATTAATTTTTTACAATACGAAACATGCAGAACCAATACCGCCAAAAGTTATTTTACCATCCATTTAGCCTTGTGTTGCGCGCGCATTTACGTCAGTTATTTGCACTTTTACATCACTAAAATTTACCTACCAGCAATCTTTTAACATAACAGTTCAAATTTAATTTGAATCACCCTCTGTTGATTTCCGTTCTCATATCTAATTTCTTGCTATTTTTGTCGCGAACGTTTCAAATGAAACAATCATCCAAGTCAAATAACTGTGAATTTTTGAAACAGTGCTTTGCCAAACAAAACAATATTGCCAAAATGTTGACAATATGCGAGCGTAAACGATAAGGCTAAATGAAATTAGGTGATTTCCAGTTAACCTCTAAAATAGTTCTGGGTAACTTCAATGTTCCATTTATTTAAAAAAAATAATTTGAGCCGGAGCTAATTATAATAGCTCCGGCTCAAATTATGACTTCATTTTTTTTTTTTGTAGACCTGTGTTATTAAAAAAAAGTAGTAACACTTCAACGCCATCAATTTAGTGTCACTTGAGAAAAGTGATGCCCAGTCATTAGTGATGGTAGCTGTTGAATTGCATTGTCAGTGATAATTTCAATTTTGTTTTTGTTAAGAAACTTATATTTTCAAATGTGCTGTGACATACTGTCCTGCTAATGATAATTTAATAATGCACAAGTTTAGTGAATTTTTAGTTCTACAGAAATCCCACAGCTGTAATGAATATCTGACAAAACATGATCAGTGTTCGTATTTTACTTCACTAATTAAATCAGGAGAAATATGAATATTCAAACCTATGGTCACTTCTAAAATACAGTATGATGCAACACCTTTAGTAGGGGAATTATTATTCATTGTCCCGCTACTCGCCTGACCTGTCTGAGAATGAGAAAATTTTGAGTGTTGTTAATTTATGATCGTCAAATTAACGATGCAGGTGGAATTAACAATTACGGTTTTAATACGATACAAAATAGCTTTGGCATCCGCTCGTTCTCATAAAAAGCTCTTACATGAACAATACAAAAACCTGTGTATTTCCGATTCTGCCTTATCAAATTTAAGAGGGTGACAAAATAATGTAATTAACCACCCGTGATTTCTTCTTTGAGTTCAATGATGCAATTCATTTCAATTGATACTGTTGCCCTTCAGATTTTTAATTGTCACACTAGTATCATTTTAAAGGCAAAAACGAAAACGAGACATTTTCTTTGTATTTAGATCTTTGTAATTTTTCAGTTTCTTTCATAAAATTATTTTTGTGTTATTCAGAAAAATGTCTTGTTAAATTCTGATAGTTTGATATACAATACAACCTAAACAAGGAAGTGAAAAAAATGTGTCTTTCTTTAAAAGTAAATTGGGTTCTTTGCAATAAATAAATCAGTATTTTCGAGAAAAGATTTCTTTACCAAAATCATTTTTCGGCGATATATAATTGTTTGAAGAGACTAATGACCATGTTTACCTTATTGGAATTCAGTCTGACCTGAGATTTGTTTTTTAAGCTTTAGTATCATACAGTAGAATGAAATAAGCTCTCAAAAGAAGGGTCACTCAATTATCCATATCACTTGAAAATTATTACCTGTCAGTTTTGACATTTCAAGGTCCCAACGCGTCACTATGATGTCAATCAGCATCATCTGATTACTCATCCATACGTTTTAAATTTCAAAGCTATCATAGAAGGTCCTAGTTTTATTTCAAAATTCGAAAATAGCGTATCGCAAATTATAATCATTTTATATTGTACATCTAAAATAGTTTTCTGAAGCATAACAAAACAATTTCTTAATAACCAACGGGAAAAAATAATTTCCACAATCGAACCACTGGGCGTATTACACAGATGGAAATAACAGACACAAATGCACAAATTTAAGCAATGAGTAGGTGTATTTAAAAGTATTCATTTATTGTTACTAAACTAGGTATCACTGCCAAACAGGTTCAATTTCCATAGACTGCGTCTTCCTTTATAAGTGTTAACGTATGAATCACTTATGAAGTCGACCTTTAACAAATATGGTTTGAAAGTAATGGTCTGAACCGCATGACAATTTTGGACGTAATACATATTATGTATCGAAGAAAACATTATAATGAATATGACAAACGTATAAATACCTTGAATCCGTTTCGTCGTTGACAACATAAACACCCGGCTAAGAAAACCACGCTGCAAACTGTTAACAGTAGTGCGACTAACCCCGTCAACAATTGAGTGTGAGAATCTGAAACAGAAAGAAGTTTTTAAAAAAATTATACATCGACAATTACAACCACTCTTATATTACGTGATTTTTGTAATTTCTGGTCTAGTTTTTGCTGCCCATTACGTCACCGAATGACGTAGGTCGTATCTTAGACCATGCAACTTCTGTTATGACAACCTCGCGTGTTAACTTAACCTAAATTGTGCTTTGTTTTCATTTTTGTAAGTCAAGTTACGACCTACTTTTCGACCGAATTTGTTTTGTCTAGGGTGACTAGATCAGAAATTTAAAAAATCCCCCGGTATAAATATTAAAATTCCAAAGTCGAAACTTTCATTTAAAAATATTGCATTATTTGACCAATGTAAAACCGCGCAGTATTAGCTAGATGGTTAAAAATAAATATTAAATATTATAGACTTCCTATTTTTGTTGAAAATTTCAAATTAGGGGCAGAACAGAAAAAAATACTTATAAAATCAACAATAAAATAAAACAGAGGCACTTTTGCAAAATAAACTGCATCAAAAAGTAACTACACAAAATCATAGATTTGATTCGATGGCTCGCTAATATGCAAACAAGGTGTTTCATCTCAACTAACTGCTTACAATTCGTTTAAGATTTATATAAGAATTATACGGCAAGAACTAGAAACAAAATGTGAATGATCTCTTTCCAAGATTTTGTTTCTTAATTGGCAGTAAAAAAAAATCAAAAATTTATAAATAGCTTTTTTTTTATTTCTTTTATTTAAAAAGATCCTCATTTTTGCAGCTTTAAAAAACACGATAAAAGACAGTCATGCATTTTTGAAAGTTTGTCTTTGGTGCTGCATTTTAAAGCCAAATTTTCAAAGTTACCGTAGTGAGACAAGACGAAAATTCTATCAAAGATAAATCTTCTTTTAATGCATTTTATCCATAACGGTCTTGATCCTGTTTTTTATTGCTCACTCGATACCATATGATCGAAAAAAACTGCCGATATCTCCAAGATCTGGTGAAGGCAGATTACGCATTTTCTGTGATTCGACAAATTTTTTTTCTGACGTAATCTCATTTAGTAATACATTTAAATTATTTTCAAATAAACAGGGCGTTCCGTTTGAAAGTTACACACCCTAGTTGCATGTTTTTAACACCCCATATATTTTTAAAAGATTTATATTCCTTATTAAAAAAATTGGTCGAAGGCTATTTCGACAGAACTTTCCTCGCCCTTGAAGTATAATCCGACAAATCCAGCTCTTTAAAAAATTATAAAATTTGATTTTACGATTTTCGTTTTGTGAGTACTCTGTAAAGTAAAAACCAGCGGCATAAATAACACCCCCGCAGCCCCTGCGCCGTACGGACAATGTAAAATTTATTTAAAGCATATAACTGACGGGATAAAATATCCTTCAGCACTAGGTAATAGGAATCTGAGGCTCAGGTGTTTATTTATGTTTATACATCGAAAGAATGACAGGGAAAAATTAGTTCGATTTGAATGATTTTGCATGTACTATAAATAAGTCGTTTTGGCCCTTTCCTGCGTGTAAAATCGGCGACACTTTTCTAAGTAATTCTAATCAACAGAGACGAAGTAGCCTGTATATTTTTTCACATCAAATGAAGGTGTCAAATAGTCTAAATGTATCTAAGTTGCAATAAAAATAATGGGTTTATTAAAGAAATCAACTTGTTTATTCGTTCACTTAGTTTATTGTTGCTATCAGTATTTTTTTTAATCTGAACGGTTTCAATCCTATTGAAATAGAATATTTTACTTGATTCTGATATTTTTAGGATATCCCTATAACCCACGTTCACATTTGGAACTCATTACATATTTGTAAAGTATAATGCATCTGATAACAAACAATTACCAACGCAAACTGTACTTTATCTGACCGTTTTGCAGAAAAAAGGAAATGTGTATGCGGGTATCACGGAAAGACAGATAGTAAACACGTGCTGTAATAAGCTGCTTCTTTTGCTTTAATGTGTCTCATAATTTTACTTTCCGAATAAAAGACCTAAAGTACTACGGTCATTTTGACAAATGTGGAATTTTGTGTTTTCTCAACTTTTTACAACTTTTAAAGCACTAAAATGTTAGTTTTCAATTTCTGCATGTATTGTCTGTCTGTCACTCTATTAATGATTTTATTAGATTTCAGAAACTACTTACTACAATGATTTTTGCCAAATGCTAAACTGAATTTGTCTGCTCATTTATATCAAAAATTCTAATAAACTAACAAATGTATTAATAATACATTCCATTCTGTACATTTGCAGTGAAATATTACTTTGCAAAATTTTAAGTTTTTCGAGAAGATAAACAGATTACCATACTCACGTAACCTTAAAGGGTGCACAAAATTTCAAAGCAATAATTTTTGTAGTATCTCAGAAACTCGTAAAATTCTGTTGTACAACTTTGATTTTTTTTTTCCAAAAACCTACATACGCAAGGTTAAAAATACGGGAAGATTAATTAATTAATTAATTACAGGTATAAAAGTAGATGTATTATTTTGCACATTTTACATGGAATTTACTTGGCATAGCTTTGAGATGACATCAAATTTTTGCTGAAGATGAGCTTTCATTAGCAATTTACTACCTAAGCGGTAATCTCAAAGTACAATCTGTCGTAGTTCCGAAAATCACTAATCTACTAAAATTGCCAACAAACGGTGGGCAGAGAACGGAAACGCATTCTTTCATATTCTTGGAGCTATGAAATATCAAGGAAAACATAAAATTAGCCATTTGCCAAAGTCCTCTCACACCAGTTTACTAGCTTACGCTCGGAAAATCACAGCACCAATTTCTACTCCAAAAATACAATAATGCACGCGGTCAAAAGTTAAATTTATAAACAAATATTAATATATACATATATTTGAAATGTGAAATGATAAAATACAATTTTCTACAAGTTAAAGTAAATTACCACCGAGACGAAAGTACGTATTCTATTCCCTTACTAGCCTGCAGTTTTTAAAACAGTCGGGGATTTCGGTATATCTGAAAAACACAATCCAAATTTCATATTCTGGCCATATTAAGAGATACCAGATTAAAAAAATAATAATAATAACTTTAAAGTGCACAAACTTCCCTCTTGAAAACACGTACCTATTCAATTGATCTTGTATTCTGTTTTAACAGTTATCAAAATTAAAAAAAAAAACACACAATTCTGTTCTGAATGAATAAATACAACTTTAGATTTCAGTTTTGGGGAAAAATAGAGTTGCAGCAAAATTGAAAAAAAAGTCTAATAAGATTATTTAGATAGACCTTCCCTTTTTCTTCAAAAAGTGATAAAATTTAATTTTGCGATTTTTTTTGATAACTCCTATAGCTAAAATAAAGATATGTGTGGAATGTTAAAGTCGAGTTAAAGTACAGGTCAAGAAGCACGATATGAAGTGAGTTTTTAATTAACAAAATTTTGTGATAACAACATGAACATTTCAAGATCGACACGTATATCAATGTGAACAGGTGCAGTGTACTGTATTCACAAATTTTCCAAAAAATGGGGTGAACCGTTGTTACATTTCCGGAAGCGGCCACTGACCCTTTTGAGTATCTTTACCTGGTTTTGTAAATAGCACTGTAATTTTAGTATAGTGAACCAAGAGCTATAACTGCCCATTCACAATGGACATAAGGCATAACAAGTACATAAAGCTTACATAAATACATAAAGTTGAAACGATGGAAAACGTATACCCCTGTTCACAGTGGACCAACGTAATTCTTATGCTTATGAACGTTTTATGTAATCCTTGTGTGCGTACACAAAGTTGAAATAAGTTCAACTTTGTGCACGAATTATGTCAAAATTATGTTAAAATCTAGGGACTTTTGAATGCTGCTATTGAATTCCCTTTGACAGTTGGCACTTGGCACTTTACACCTTTAATTATATTATATATATTATAATCAAAGTTTCTAAATGCGAGTCTGTTCTGTACTGCTAGTTGTCAAGTTCGAATATCGTACGAAATTGTAGGTTAGATATTTTGATTGACTCAGTTTGAGGTTAGCCGTTTCTATGTTTAGCCGGGAGTCATTCCGTTCTGCGTTTGCGCAGTTTAACAATTCTTACAGAGTTCACTCTGTCCACTGTGAACGTAGATAAGCATAAGCCAGACACAAACCAAAAACATAAATTATGTTATGCGCTCGTTCTTATGTCTTATGTCCATTGTGAATGGGCAGTAAGGTTATATGGCCATCATAAAAGTAGTTGACCGCAAATAAATACCCCCTTTGTGTGGTTCGCACTAAGTTTACCGGTTGTCAATAAATCATCTTCTAAACATTTCTTGCTCATATTTAACAGGGCCGGCTTTCAAAGCGAGTAGTTATTTCGAAACCCTCAGCGGCTGCAGGTAGTAAAGAAATAGTGGAGTGGTGGATTTTCATATTTAGTGAAAGCCGCCCCTGAACGAAACCACAAGAGCCGGTCGAGCTGCAGTGGACACGTTATTTACGACCCTAAACCTTTTCTATTGTAAACAACTTAACTTCGACACAATGGGATGATTTTATAATGGCCATATAACCTTATAACTCTTGGTTCACTATACTTCTGTAACCGTCCTACATTAAACATCAAAACCGAACGCTGTCCATTATTTCAATTATAACAAACAAAGGTCCTTCGAGCAATATCAAGGTACAATTCGGAAGACCATACATGGTCGTATCAACTGGATTACAAAAAAACGTTGGTACTACGATTCGGATTGTACGAAACATTGGCACTTCAAGCCGGAACATTGGTCCTTCGAACCGGAACATTGGTCCTTCGAGCCGGATCAACCGTAGCTTCATATCACGTTTCTAAAGAAGAACCTTACTATTAAACGAATTAAGCTAATAATAAAAATCAAGGTGGATTCATAAACCACAAGGGTAGGAGTATATTATTTTATCAAATTGAAATAATATTTACTATGCAAAATTTTGAGGTGACGCCATCAAATCGTTGGTGGGGATAATTAAACAGACAACAAACAAAGTGAACTCTAGGGGTCATGAAACGTCGAGAAAACATGAAACTGACAAGTCGCCTGATGGACTTGATTACGATACTTCCTTAGCTTCCTTATATTCGAGAAGTAAAAACACTGAATTTTGTAATTTGGGATTAGATTCTTATTGAATCAATGCATCTGTATATAACATAAAAAAAAATCAGTTAAAAGAACGCACTGCATCCAGTTTCGAAATACATTGAAATTAGTAGATTCCGCTGGGAGTTGTTTTTGTTCAAACATTTAAAAATTGATTTTTTTTTGTAGAAAGATGGTGGACATTTGTACGATCGTAAACGCATATGTACTCAAATGTAGTTAAAAACAGTATTGATCATATTAATTCTTCAACACATTTAACCTATTTACTAGGTGCTACAAGTAAATATTATACAAACGTACAGAAAGAGACGGTGAAATATGCTTTTTAGTTAAATGATTTTCTTCACCGACCACTTTCAAATTTTTGTTTAAAATATCATTAAACTGGTGACATTAAAAAAGTTAAAATATTACGTTTTTGTGTACACAATTACATTGAAAATGAATAAACAAAAAACATTTTAAAAATAACAATAAAGAATAGTTGAGTACTTCACTTTAAAAGGTTAGTTAGTCATTTAGTGACACTTATCGTGAGTCATTTAGAGGATGTACGGCTTTCCCCCATTTGACAAGACACAAGACACTAAATTTAGAGCGAATACAATTTGTACCGTTAGGGAAAAAATTTCCACCCATAATTTGGTATCTGGTATAACAAACTTAGTGCCATGTCCAACAAACATTATGTTTTTCTTCTTAAAAAAAATCTGATTCATAGTTGACTGTGAGTAAGCAGTACACAACACCATCTCCTTTAAGATTTGGTGACCCTATAAAACTTTGGAAACAAACTGCTAACCTATTTTGTGTAAAAGACTAGCCACGGCACATTGGCGGGAAACGGGACTACATTTCTTTTTAACTTATTCCATAATAAGAAATGCCTGCACAATTTTACATGGAAAATTAAGGTCTATTTAAATAAAACTTAGAAAAAATAAACCAGCAATTAAGTGCAATAAGGTAACGCACCCATGCATTGAAACGTAAGTTTTTGAGCCTATTTTTATTGTTTTGCATTCTATGCGTACAATGAATAAACGTGGGGACACACTATGGGGTATACCTTATTCTATAAATAACACAAAATAAGCCGAAACGTAAGTTGACAGGTTGTTGCTGACAAATTCTACCAGTACTGGCGTGAGCAAAAGCAGCAGGGAAACATAATCGTATTAACATTAATTTCTTAAACAGGAACAGGAAATGGATATCCAACACAAAGCGACATCAAATTAAGACACAGATTAAAATCAACACTGAATAAAATGTTTTCGGATATGGTATTACCAGCGGAAAAACCGCAAACTCTAAACCTAAACAGTATTTACAATTTTTTGCATCCTACATTTTTAGATAATACACACTATACACAGTGGTACTCTGAATTTCAATTTATCTTTTATCTTTTTTGATAAAAGTGAAGTGGATGTTTATCGTTATATTGTTATAGAATTATAGGTAAGATTTTCATGAAACGAAAAATAATAATTTTGTTGCCATAAAATGATCAAAAGGGTACATGTTGTGTCTTATCTTATAATATATACCTAACTGTACATTTATCTATGGAGTGTTATACTTTAATTTCTACATACGCTATGCATAAGGATGTATTTTTTCTACGGTTCTATGGTAGCAATATAGTTTTTAACCAGTAGCCACTAGTAATGAGACGGGTGGTTTATCTAAACTCACTATTTTTGAGTCCTAATAAAATCTTATCATCACTATGGGCTCTATTATTAATTATTATAGACGAACAATGCCTTAATAACCCAGGCGGTCTGAATCCTCGTCAAAGTGATGACAGCATACGCGTGCCGCTTTGAAATTTACCTGATTACAGGGTTAACTAAAGGATATAATTTATGGCTTTAAATGGTGAAAGGTTGAGAATCTTTAACTTGAAAGTTATATGTACAATTTTACAAGAACTCAAAAATTGTGGATTTAGTGTACTGAGGAATCTGTTACCCCAATAAATCAAGTCAGGTCAACAAATCCGGCCTCAGATTACAAATGCGACAATAATAAACTGTTACTCTTAATACAACACTTTTGTTGTCCAATGCTGTTTTCATCACAATTTCAAGGTGCGTTTCTTCATCCCTTGACAGGTAAGGTGCGACAAATCTACTGTTATTTACAACTAATCTGCTTTCTCTTCACAGTGGGCACTGGCTCTTATACAATAGAACCGATTTTGCTGTTAGAAGAAATTCATAACTACAAATTATTGAAAATAAGATAAACGTTATTATTATTACTTCTCACTGATTTTGATGGTATTTATCTCAAGAAACTTGTAATTTAGAAGAAATAAATGTATAGCATGGATTTGTTAGCATAATATTTAATTTTTTTTCTTTTCAAATAGAATAACTTACGTTTTTTAAGCGGGCTAAATAGAGTATTTTATATACAGTTGCCGCCAAAAAATTTCAGACGTCGATGTCATTCAGTCGTCAAATAGTGTAAAGCAACCTTTACTTGTTTCTAACCTTAATATTTGACAGTCATTTTGAATGTAGCTGTAGCGTAAGCTGGAATTTTGAAAGTTTGACATTCCAGCTGTCCGAAATAATGACAATAAAGCATAGACTACATTAAAATTTTTGTCATGACAGAAAAGTGATGTCTGAAATTTTTTGTCGGAAACTGTATATTCAGTGATAATGCAACGCATTTAGTTTGGCGTTTCCAAATATTTTAAATGCATCTCTGCCTATCTGTTCCACTGTAAAATTTCAGATACATACTTGAAAAAAAGTGCTGCTTTTTCTGCAAATGACATCAACTTTTGATTTCAAATGGAATAAGGTAGTTATGTTTTGTCAATTTTGCATATTTTATCAGTGACTTAACATCTTTATGAAATAGGTATCATTGAAAAAGAACAAATATACCTACACTTTGAAACACTTTGATACACAATGTATAGCATTTCGAAAATTCCGCTCTCAATGTAATACTGACTTTTGTGTCAATTCACAGTACCAAGTGTGAAATATGCCTTATATGTATTGAAAAGAAAAAGTTGAAGTCACTTCCAAAAATCTAGACGAAACGTCTGGTGCATGATTTTCTATACACTGTGTACAAAAATTATTTTCTTCTCTTTTTAATGTTGTTAATAATGATTTAAAATAAATAAACACTTACTTAGTATTTACTCGTGAAAAAATGATTACAATCGTTAAGAGAACTATTTACATCATTTCGATAAAAAATATAAAGGGATTCTATTATTTTCTCGTGTCTACAAGTGACTCATATCGTCTGCTAGTTAAAATGAGTTGTATATTGTTGCAAGTTATATGTGAAAATACGGTATAATCGTAAATCATAATTTACCTACTTTCAAAGTTTTCTCACGAAAAAAAAACAATGTACTCATGTTTTGCTAATCTCTTTTTAACATTGCAGTTTGACAGTAATACATTTTTTTTCTATATAAGTACTTGTATGATTTTTTTTTTTAGAAAATAGTGCAAACATATTAAATAAAAGGATATTATAAATAATTAACAATCTTACAGAGCAGAACGAAAAAATTGTTGCTTACAACACAATAACCGTTACAACGTGCAGTTCATAGCGACCCGATGAACAAAGTAACTGGAAAATCCTATTTGATCAAATGAACAACAACATATTCGCTCGAATAATTGCAGTGAACGGTAACGATTGATTTAGCAAAACGTATTGACTGTCCATGAAAGTGATAGTGGGTTGGCTATGAAATGATCATAACTGGTGACTCACCTGCTACCGTGTTCTCTAAATTAATGGGCAATCCATTGCATAATTCACAGAATAGAAGCCCAACGCACAAAAATAATATTTTCCATGTTTTTTCCATAATTTGCAAATCCGTTTCACACAAACAAAAACATCATTCACTGCAAAAGTCAACGGATTCTATATTTTCACAACGCAATCGAACTGATCAATGCATTTTTTTTATTAAGCCACATGTCACATTTTAAAACACACTCCCGCACTTCTTTGTTTCTGATTTTTCACCGCACCAGTTTTTTTCCAAAATATCTCTGGCTAGCAACGTCAGTCTACCATTTTTCCGCAGAAATGACATTTCCTCTTGCGAGCTCTATCGAAACAGTTTTTGCGTGATCTAAAGATCGTAGCACCACCTGTCGTTGCAATTAAGAATCATACTTTGATTACATTTTTGACAATTGATAGATGTCATCGATGTCATTATAAAGTTTTATAACCTCAAACATGGCGACAATAACCGTAACCGATAAATCAAAAGTTAAAAATAAAGAAAAAGATCTTAAAGAAGCCACCACCTCGAAGGACTTGGATGAGGTGTTACATAACGTAAAGAAAATTGACAACACTTGTTCATTCGTCAAATGTAAAAAACGTACCAATGACTTTGCCATCGAATGCAAATATTGCAAAGGCAGATTTTGTCCAACACATGGATTGCCCGAAATACATGGTTGTGGAGATGCTGTCCGAAAAGACGAAAAACAAAGGTACCTGCATCCTAATACTAAACTGACTGAGGAAAAACATTCACAAGCACAGACTAAACTTAATATGAAACTGAAACAAATGCAGCAAGAGAGAAAATCAAAACAGGGTTTTACAAATAAAAAAGGGAAACAATAATATTGGGACGAAAATGTACATTAATAAACTATCATAAGTAAGAAGGTATTTATTCTTTCTTTTTAATATTTTTAATCCAAAAATATATCAATGTACTTGACAACTTTATTTATCAAAGCTTTATAAAAATACACTTCCAAAATGGGCTCAATCACGTCATGTACATTAAAATAAGTCTACACTACATGGATAGTGTGGAAAGGAATATAGTATTTTTGCGATTCTGACTTTTCCAAGCCCCTAGTTTGTGAACAATGTTAAAATACATCCAAAACTAATACTGTTATAAATGAGTCAGTCCTGTGTTATAAATTTTTATCTAATAGACTGCATTATTCGCTGACGAGGGTGGTAAAGAAGTCAAAGTTGCAAAACCACTATATTCCTTGGCACACTAACATTTCACTTTGAACGTATCTCTAGCATAATAAAATTGACGGTGACAAATATAACACACAAGATTGACCATCCTATGACGAACACCAACCAGAAGACATGTTTAAATGGACTAGCATATTTATTGTCATAGCTTCCAATGTTTCGTGCACAATGTTGTCTAGCAAAATATACCAAACAAGCAGGTATAAGATACTGAATTAGTACACCGGCATATGATCCTGTAAAAGCCACCAAATTTCTTAAATTATGTGTAAGAAATGCTACCACAATTGGGGGTACTACAGCCAATGTAGGAAAAATTAACCTGCGAACAATAAAGTTGTATCTTTCCATCATATTAACGTCCAGGAATAGCGATTTTAAATTATTTTGCAATGTAATTGCTATAATCGGAAAACTTGTTGATAACGTAAATAATGGAAACGCTCCCAAAAAATATTTAATTATTTCCATAAATATACCTGACTTGTCTGATCCAGTTGGAATAAAATTGAGCGTGTATAAATCTTCCAAAGAGTCAAAGGCAAATGAACCTGTCATAGCCAATAACAAATAAAAAGAACATATTGACAAATAATCTAAGCCTATTTGGCGAATCACATGTTGCTTATTGGCAAAAGGTGCTATTAAACCTGGAACTGAATGGTGGCACATAAAACTGTAAATACTTGAACCTATTAAACTTGGAACACCAGGTAAGTAGAATAATTGTGGATGGCCTTCCTGGCCATTTTTTGACAATCTTATACATGCCAAAGTTATCATTATAATAAACGCTGACCACCTCAGTGCTGTAGTGAACACTTGCAAATATTTAGTTTTCTGCACTTTAAAATATGTAAATGGACCCACCGACAATGCAAATATTGCTACAAATATACGATACATATCAATTTTTAATACATTTAATGAATCTGAACATTTAGTACTGTAATCTTCTGTGTTATTATTATACGTGTTACACGTAAGATCCACTACAGTTTTCGAGACAGCTGTTGCATATATCGCTAAATCACCATATAAATATATACACAGTGAGAGATAAAATAGTAGTTGACCAATTTTATTAAAATATAATTTGGCCATCTCTCCTAATTCTACCTTTGCGTTGAGGTTGTAGTAACGTTTTCTTCTTCTGTTTATACTCATTATAGCCGTTTCTTCAGTTGTATTTTCTGCATCTGTATCAGAGTCAGCTGGTGCCTCACTTTCCTTGAAAGAGAAATTAATAAGTCGATTACTATAATTATGCTTATTAGTCTTACATCAACTTTATGAGACTGAACACGCCTCCAATGAACTGTAGCATTTGCACAGGCCATTGTTTCAATAACAAAAGTCACTGTTATGAAACTCACGAGTGCTAATAAAGTGACTAATATGGTACTCAAAAGCCACCCTGCTCCAGCAAATACTGCTGGCAATGTAAGGGCTCCAGTACCTACTATTAAATTGAAAACATAAATCAAGCCCACCTACAAAACATTAAAAGTCTGTTTCAACCCGATATCTATTACAACACATACCCATGACGAGTATTCATCAGCCATTGCAAACACCGATATGGTTTATTATGCAGTAATAATAATAAATGCAACAGGTTAATGATCAGTGCATTGTTGTTATCATTAATATCACTACTACACATCTAAGTGATTAATGATAGCAGTTGACATTTGGGTTACGTTTTTAGAAAATAAACATTACATCAGTCTTAATATTTGGTACACTAATATTAAAATATTACTTTCATAGTTTTTAAACCACGTCGTAATTATTCTTGGCTTGTTATTAATTAATTTGTTGTTTTTTTGTACACTACATTTTCGCAACATAACCTAATAAATAAACAACAAGTTTAAAATCCCTAGATTTCCCTAGATCCTGGATTTGACAATCTATTAATTCTCTAGTGTCAAATGATAGTGTACCTCTGATTTTTTATTGAAGAAATTAACCTATCAGAGCAGTAAAATAATACACAAATTTAGATAAGCAAATATTTTTGTTTGTTAAAAATGGGAGATCCAGACCTGGAAGAGTTGAGGCGACAACGTTTAGCCCAACTACAGTCTCAATATGGGGTATAATTCTTACAAGCGACGCGAAAAATAAGTTATCATTTTTTTGTTGTAGGGAGACTCAAAAAACGAAGATTCTCAAAAACTAAAAGAAGAACAAGCTAGAGCGCAAGAGGATGCTAAAAATTCAATTTTAACTCAAATATTAGATCAGTCCGCACGAGCACGCTGTACGTAAAAAAATAGGTTATGTAAATTTAAGTGTTTAAAAACATTTTTTAACTATTGTTCGCCTCACAAAAACTCATTTTATGCAGAAAAATTGCCACCTGATTATTTTAATTTTTCAGTGAATACATTAATGCTTGGTAAACCAGAAAAAGGCAAATTGGTAGAAAATATGTTAATTAGGATGGCCCAAACAGGACAAATATGTACCAAGATTGGAGAAACTGAACTTATTAATTTACTTGAAAATGTAAGTGCCCAAACCCAGAAGAAATCTTCTGTGAAATTTGATAGGAGGCGTGCTGCTTTAGATTCTGACGATGAAGATTTCTAGCCTTACATTTAAGTCGGTGTTGTTACTCAAAAATTTATTTCTCACATTACATTTATAATTTTAATATATACATCAACAACAAAAAGGATTATTTTATATTAAAAAATAACTATAACTAGCACATTTAACATTTCAACGACTAGATTATTTTAACACCTTATATTTATTCTTTCTTCTCATGTAATAGCTCTGGAATTTTAACTGAATTATTACACAAGCAGTAAATTTTATTATCATTCTTACCTTCTTCTTCATCTTCGTCTGCATCTAAAATATCTGAACAACATATTGAATACAAGATTAAACTTAAGAAACCAAGTGGTAGACCAAAGAGTACTGTTGTTAAAACAGGATTTCCTCTCCACATTTCTGCAAGCGATGTTCTTGCCTCAAAGTAAGTGCGATACAATCGAACAGCTAGGGTATTTCCACCATACGCCTGAAATAATAATAGACAACAAAAGCGGTGTAAGTTATTCAGTTATGAAACTTACTGGCACACTTTGATTATATATTCTTTCAAGAAATATGTCAATAGCATCGGATGTCAGCTGAGAAGGATCATCTTCTGGAATGTGATGATGATTTGTGGTTGAATTAAGTACCAGTAAATGCGGTAATGGTAATGTTTGCATTGCTATACTATTAGCTAATTCTGGACTTCCAACCCACCCAAATTGGAAGTACTTATGATATTTATCTCTTTTCTTTCTTATAACTGATTCCACCATATCTCTAAACTCTAGCATTTCTTGATTGATCTGTTGCAATTTATTTTCTTCGACCACTACCAGTACAATATATTTTTTAGTCTGGAGAATCTCATTAATATTGCCCCTTGTAATTTTTGGAAAAGTCTCAAATCTTTCTTCATTGATCCATTTGTACATTGAAGCATTTAAATGTTCAGCTTCTTGAGACTCATTTAATGTTGGTGGACCAGATTCAACTGAAAAATGTAGACCAATTAAACATGAGATAGGTAACTTATAACACTACATACTGGTGTAGAAATAATGCAAACTCTCTTTGTAAACAAACACAGCAGGTAACTCATCAATATCAACATGTTGCTTAGCTACCTCTTTGTTGGCAGCATAAAAGAAACCATGAGGTTGCATTTTACTAGCAACACTGTAGTATGCATCCCACAGTGAACCTTCCTGATCTCCAACATACATAAAAAATAGTTGATTCATTTGTTTTAAATTCATCAAACTCTCTGACCGTGTAACCTCTTGGACAGGCGGTCCAGCCATTCTTATGGCAAAGTTGACTATGTCATCCTTTGTTCTGTCTCCATGAAATGTGAAGTCCTCATCAGATTTAATGAATTTTATCGTTGGAAAACCGTTAACAGAAAACTCAGTGGCTAATGAAGGAAATCGTGTGCAATCAATTCTTCCCACTCTTATATTAGTTTTATATAAAGCTTGTGCTACTTGTGCCCATATGGGTTCTAAACGCTTACAATGTCCACACCATGGTGCATAAAATTTAACCAGCCAATAACCGCCTTCCTTATAAATTTCAGAAAACTTATCACTAAGTTCTAAGACCCTAGATGCTGAACAACAACCAATTACCACTGCAAAATCCAGTTTTACGTATTTGTTTTTACAAATCAATTACCTCCATACCACAAAGTGTAATAAAAAATCTACAAAATGCCATAATATGTTCAAATATGAAACTTTTCCATTTATTACACTACTATAATCCTGTTCAGTGAAACAGAAGACCACATAACTTGTATTCAACGCATTTAACCTAATCAGCTCGTTATCGATTTTCTTTTTGCATTACTGTAATTTAATTTGTCGGATATACGTATTTACCACATATTTTGTCTACAACTAACTACATATTTACAAACAAAACACCAAACACCCTATAATATGTCATTTTGTGTTATTTGACAATTAATTATCTTTCTGTCAAATTTGTAGACATCGCCCACTGCATTCGGGAACACCAAAACTGCCGCAAAATATACAGAATGTCCCACACCGATTTCCTTATAAAAAAATAATTGACGGGAAATTATGTACAGAAGGAACAATACGTTGTTTTTGTTCAATATATCCAATTCATCACCATCCAGACAGCGCTAGTTACGAAATAGTCTTATGATTATGTCTGTGAATTATTTGCATCGCTGTTTTACTTGTTATATTGTAGATTTCTACCATTCTACCATACATTTCGTTATGTCGTCACTAGGTCACTACTCTAACACATCTTTTCTGGAATTCATTATTGTTATTGGCAAGGTGAAAATAATTTCCACCACAATAAGCCCCTCTTCATGTTTTTTCAAAATTTTACCTTAACGCGTTCCCATACAAATATAGTTTATAGCTACACCCAGTTTGCGAATCAAAAATTCACACTCCTATTCAAATGATGGATACATACTAGGACACATAGCGATAATAACAGAAAGCAGAAAGACTGGATTTGGGACATATTAGAGCCGTTTTATAAACACCAAAACACCAGCATTATCAACATTAAAAATGGACTGCGGGAAAATGTACTAGGTTGGATAATAGGATACTGTACTTACTGTATAATATTAAATAGAAAATATATAGTCACAAAAACTTCTAAATTTGCTTCGCTATCTTAAATTCAAATTTATATTTATGACTATATGTGAAATCTCTTCTACGCTTAGAGAAATTACATATAAAATTTCATCCTAAAAATGTTATTTTTTATGATATACTCTGTATATTAAGATAAAAATATAGCTGGATTAATGAAGTCCAGCCTAAGGAGCACGTTGTTTCAGATGAGATTTTCTTAATAACATTTTCTGATGACGTCATAAATTTTTAAAAGGGATATCACGTACATAATTGTCCATCTGCGTAGGTATAAAACCTGGCCCCGATCATTGGGATTAAATTTGTGATGTTTTTCCTGTGCTGTGCTCAGATACCTAAAATGACAGTCGTGCTGTATCTTTTCCGTCCAATAATAACTCTCTAATAGTGGCAAAAGAGTAGGCAAAATAGAAAAAGTGACATTATCTCTCTACTCTTATCAAACCATTATCCAGATGGGCTCGTTTCCTACTAACATAGTCAGGTTTCGAGGGTTGTTTTAAATAAATACAATACCAATCTTTATACTTAGTATAGTCAGAAACAAAAATAAGGCTTTCTTTCTTGAGAGATGCAATCGTATTTTAGGAAATAAACTGAAACCAATATTATAGACAGTTTTGATTGGATTTCGACATTTCCAGAAATTATAAAATCTTATATAACAATTCTTATCATACTACTATTAAAATGAAACCAAAGAATGTAAGTAAAGAAAATTATTAGAAACTGTATATGTATATGATTAATTGATTATATTAATAAATAAAAAAACAAAATTTGAAGTTGGCAACAGAGTTATACAGGGTAATTTTTTTTAACCTGAAACTTTCAAATATCTGAAAAAATAAGCACTCTACGGAAAAATGTCCAGAATCAAAATTTAATCATGCCGCGAGGGAAATACACTTGCGAGCATTGAAATCGGGCCACAAATCGGGCCATTATTCATATCTGACTTTGAATCAAATTTTCTACTATATTACACTTAAAGAAACTAAAAAAACCATTAGAAAGACCAAATGTTTGTCTTTAAAACAGAGTTACGAAAAACTTCATGAAATTGTTTTGAAATATTTTTTTTGGGCAAAAAAGAAAATTGTTCAATACGAAATTTTTTATGTTAACAAAATCAACAATTTAAAGAAGAAAATGATGTTAATATTCGGTGTTGCCACCCCTAGCTCTAATAACCGCTCGCATTCGTCTATTCATGGACTCACATGGACTCAATTCAGGTGACGACAGCTTCTTGCGGTATATTAGCCCATTCTTCTTCAATAGCTATTCTGATAATCTGGAGGATTTACCTGTCATTTAACGAAGAAAAAAAAAACGAGCTTTCAGATGATATATTTCTTGCAAAACAGCCAAATATAGATTTTGAATAATTTTGATTGAAAATCAGATTTGAATACTGGCCCGATTTTAATGCTCGCAAGTTTACATTAGTGCTAAAATTAGCCCCTCTCCCTCTCTCCTTGTAGGTGGGCAGGGGTTAACTTCGAAACCTTGAACTGCTATTTTTTATTGCAGATTCGGAGTCTATGGCTAAAAGTCTAACAAGTCAACAATACAAGGTTATATGGCTGTTGTAAAATTAGGGTATTGTGAAGACGACAATAAAGCAAATCCACAGTTGTAAATTGTGCTGGTTTAATGTACCAAAAATGTTTAAGCGGATTACCCAGCGGTATAGATATTGAGGTGGCAAAATATTCAGACAAATCCCTGATTTATGACGATAGAATTGAGCTGGTAACCAGCCGCACAAAAGGAATAATTATACATAACATCCCATTATTAAGTTTAGTTGTAAGTTTAATGATACCTTGTAGTATCTGATTCACTAAACGTAGGATTTGTCTGAACTATTTTTTTCAATTCGTGATAGATGGCCCTGAATAGACGAAATTCAAAAGGCGTTTACAAAATTTTAATATCTCTACCAGTTCTCAAGATATAATAAGCTGAGATTTAACTGGGACAGGGTACATGAGTTTATCTGCTCTCTACACCATCGTTCATTCACAGCAATTTAGACAGGGCTCACAGAAGATTTTATCACTTTTGTAGGACTATTAACCAGACATCCCTGATTCACCGACCGATATCAGGCGTAAGATTGAATTTAACTTCGTCGTCATCTCGTGTTCTGGGCGTCGATAAAAAAGTAACTATTTATTTCGATTGTTTCAAAGACATTCCAACGCTTTCAGTTCTTATGTGAGAAATTAGAAAAAAAATCGTTTCAAATTTGTTTTCAAAATATTGGCTAGTCTAGTCTAAAGCAACCGTGTAAATTTGTTTTAGTATTACTGAGGAATAAATTGTTGAGTTTTACCCACGCCGATTTCGATTTTAATATTGGTAAATCGTAACAATACAAAATGAAAGTATAAAAAACAACCTCAAACTTTTTATTAATTTTTTTGCGACATAATAAGCGAGTCCATTTTTGCTAAAACACCTTTAAAATCAATATTTTTTTCATTTGTAATATATTTCTTTTTAAGCGATAAAGGAGTCGAGTCTAATTTAAAGTCTTTGGATTGACTATCCACGTCAGGTTTTTCTTTGACCGTGAGTTCGACTGTAGGCTTTTCCATATGTTGATCGAATTTATACATCAAAATGGGAAAATTTCTTCCGTAATGTGTAATAACTAGTATGTTATCATGCGGATGAAAATCCACGCAGTGAATGGTCAAAAATTGTTGGCTAGATGGGTATGGCACATAACTAGCTACTTCGTGTCCACTTTTGGAATTCCAGACGTGTATAAATCCATTCTCACTTCCAGCATAGACAAAATTACCACACGAAGAAATGCTAGGAATAATTCTAAACCTAAAATCAACAATATAAAACAATGTTGTACGATAAGTTTGTACTTTATTTTAACTTTAGCTAGTTTAGCTTTGGAAACCGTCGTTAGTGTGTACTGACTTTAAATCATTAATTTTACGACATAGGTTCTAGTTTCCAAAGTTACAAGCAACTTAAAAGTCAATGTTTACCCAACCTCTTGTTTAAACTTCCGCGTAACCATTGTAATACACATCCACTTTTAATATCAATTATACGAACTACATTGTCTCGAGAATGAACTAATAGTTTTCTTCCTTTTGGAAATAATAATATTTGGTTGATAATTGTTTCTTTCAAATCTAACAAATTAATTTGTCTGAAAATTTTACTCTATGAAAAATCCAGTAGATATCATCTCCATACCTTTTTAATATCCAGTCAAGATTTTCCTGGTACCATTCAATAATGACTCCGGTTGAATCAGCTGAAAACATACTACACTTTGTAGAAAAACAAACAGATGTCACATATCCCGTATGGGCGTCTAGTTCTTGAAACATCTGAAATTCAAATTTTGTATCATTTTGAGCCAGACGCCATATTCTTAACAATCCATCGTAACAACCGGATGCAATTATTTTTGTGTCATTGATGTCACAAGTGTACACAAAGCATGGGTGTGGTAGAATCTGAAGTCACATAGGTACAACGTTTTACGAAAAAAATTTAAAGCTGAAATATAATAATTACCTGAATAAACGAACAAGACGTTACAGTACTAAAAACAGAAACTGTATTGTCAGCACTAGCTGACAAAAGAAGTGAGTCGTCTCTGGACCATTTTATGTCATATATTAATGCCTGATGTGCACAAATTTTATTAACTTCTTGCAGCGTTAGGACCTGAAATTGATCTTCATTTAGTTAAAAGTTATAAAAAAACGGCATGCATATTTAACGTACAGAGTAAATTACTATGTAAAACAAATTTTCGAGTTGAACTGCACATGCCAAATAGATTCCATTGTGACTGAACTTTGCCACAAAACATCCTTGATCATAGCTGTTAAATTCAACGAAACACTTATTCGGAAGCTTGCAAGATTCGTTCGGTCGTTTAGTCCAACACACTGCGTCTGACTTTGATTCTGTATCATTTATTTTGTCATTTAAAACAGTAGATGCTCCTTCTGGAACTGGTATGTGCACGTCGTCGTATAATTTTGTTTTTGAACTTGTTTCTTTTTGGACTGGTGTTTTAGATCGAAAACTTTCAACAACAACCGTAGGCGAGACTACTGACTTAATGGTAACGTAAAGGCTGGAAGAATATTTTTTTAATTTTTTCTTTTTCCACCATATCCAGGGGTTACATATTTGAGGGTTGTATTTTTTAGACTGACAAGAATGATATAACTGAAGCCTTAGTTTTTTTCCAATGTTCAGCGAACCGTCTTTTCCAGCGGCTTTTAGAAAGGCAAATGCAATAGAATGCCAACCGCTTGTACACACTAAAAACATAAATGTATAGACAATTTTTCGCGGAAAAACTAAAAAGGTATGTACCTTTATCATTTAACTGCGGCAGCATTGCAAAAGAAACAAAATCTAGAATTTCAAAAAACACAATTATGCGATGGCTTTCGTCCTTAAAATATCCATAATCGTCATTCAACAAGATACTTTCTTCCCAAGATGGATACAGTATTCTGAAAGCAACACGTTTAATTACACCTACATTTTAAACAACAACAAATAATAATCTTTTATAAGACAATTACCTCATGAATATTTCAAAAAATGAATAAATAATAGAGTTTCAAACATTGAGGAATAGTAAATTTAGTGAGGTATACGTGTCAGTCCCCTGCTTTCTGCGCAAAGTAATATTTTTATCTTTTTTTAATAAGATGAACTGAGTAAAAGATTTAAAATTCATTTTTATTTAAAAAGCAAAGTATACATTTCTTACTAACCGTTTTTATTTTGCTAGAGATATTTATAGTTGCAACTATCAACTTTGAATTTTTTCTGAGTTATTTATGGTATGTTTTTATATGTTTATGTATATGAATCCAGAAAAAAAAGAACGTCCCTTGATTTTGAAACACAATCACTTAAACAACTCCAACTAAATCGGTGTTGCGAGCTGGTCATCGAGTAGGACTTCTATTATCTATTTGTCATAATAAATTCAACCGCTTTCGACAGGCACAAAGAAATATTGTAGTAATCCAATATTTCTGACGTTAACATTTAACAGTAGTAGTGTTTATAAATGTGTTTGCATGTCTGCTTTTATGACAATGTAATAGGAACTAGGTATAGCTCTTCATTTCAGTGACGGTGACTCCAATTTTAGGAAATTGTTGCTCTAAATGATCTCCGCACTCGTCGCGTGAACGCTAAAATTCAAGATAAGACTCAGATTATTATTCGATTATTCTGAAAGGAGGTTTCGGGGCAAAGCTAGCTTTGCAGAGTAACCAATACAATTTCAGAACGCTGACGGAGGCGTACGAATCATCACGATAATAGTCGACAACGTCGACAGTAACACACGTGATTCGGTGAACTACACGAAGACTGTGTTCTGCTGTTTTTCCGCTCATATTTTACATTAGTGACAATTTATTCAAAATGAACTCAGTGCAAACGTTGAAAAAGTTGAGAAACAGTGTGTTCAATTTTGAAGAGTGTGTGCACAATGGATTGGGTCCACTACGCCCTAATATGAAATTTTTTGTTGAAACTATGGTAAAAGGCAAAACGGTTTGTAGTAGATTTAATGAAGGTCTGTACAAAAATTTAGAACGGTTCTGTGGTTGCGACAGACCTTATTGTTTCGTGTGTTTATTAATGACATTAGCTAGCCGATTGTGACAAAGTTTGGGTGGAAAATGTAATAATTTTAAACATTTAAGAGTAAAAATTAAAAAACACAGTATAAATAAAAAAAAGTGTTTCTTTCACTTGAATTTGCAACATTAGAACCCTGTTTACAGAAACTCAGTTAAATATTTGATTCCGATTAAATTTTTAACACGGCCTTAAAGTGCCACGTGCTCGATTCTACGCCAATCAGACGTCGGTAAACGCCTCGTTAAATGCGTGATTAACTTAAGGGGTAGCTGAAGTACATTTTGGCATAGGGAAAATAATGTACGAGGCACGTGTTTTACGTAAAACTATTGCTCCAATCATAACAATTTTTCGTATATTGAATCTATGGAAAAAACTCAATAGATCTGCGTTTTCGTTTTTTGAAAAAACTATATTTAAACATACTTTTTAAGCTTTACAATTCCTTAAATTTTGAGTGTTTTTATTATTTATGACTTATAATGAAAATTACAAATTTTACTTCCGCACATCGGTAGTAAATTTATTCGGAAATAGATTTGTTTTTGAAAAATCAAAATCGGATAATAAATAAGCTTTAAATCACATGCCGAAAAAACAGATTCGAAAATATTTTACAAGTTGAGTAACTTTCTGGCTTGTTAAGGATGAGAACAGGTATACGCCGAAAGAACCACCCCTCTTAAATAAACGGATTATAGTTAAAAGGCCAATTATGTTGTTGTGATTAAGAGTAATCTTTTGCTAGAAATCATTTATACAAAACTCATTTGACATACACCTTGTAAAACTTTTATGACTTAAGCGGCTTAAGCCAAACTATCCTTATAATGGATCCGAACCACAAGGATTGTAACTGTCCATTGTTGCCAAAATGGAGCTGTAAAGTTTTACTAGGTATGTGTAAACTGAGTTAAGTTATACAATAGTCAGTTTGACTTATAAGGGTGCTTTGGCTCAAGCCGCTTACGTCTGCTCGTTTGAAAAATATATAAATTTATCGAATGAATATCAACACAGACGCGGATAGACGGCAGACAGACGGAATTGGAACACCTAAATTTTCGGATTCTAGGGGTCATGAAACGTCCAGAAAACATAAAAGTAGCGAGTCGCCCGATAGATTCCATTACAAAACTTCCTTAGTTTACCCCCAGGAAATAAAAAATACTAAAAATTAAAAAAACCACTATAATTTTAAATTTAATAATACTAATGGTTATTTTTTTAATGTATTAATTCGTCGTTATTAATTTTATAAATTTGACACCTTTGAAATCATCATTCTTTGTTTTTCATGTCCTTTTTGTTTTTCCTATTTTGTATTATTTTAATTTAACATAAACTATTTTTCTGTCTATTTATAAGCCCGTCCGTCCAATTTTAACCGCACACCTCCCCTTCCGTTCTTCCGTGCTTCTCTTTTATTTTGTTACTAGGTTATTGCTATAAATTTATTACTTTGAAAATATTTACTATAATAACTAATATGTTAACTCTAAATTAGTGGTTTCATTGTCTGTTGTTTCAGTCACAGCCAATGGACGAGTTAATTTATTCAGGTAAGGGATTAGTACAGTCGCCTATCCAAGTAGAGACCTTCGTGCTACTAACCCGCACCGGCAAAATAATCTACTTCAGCTCCCCCTTAAATATTCTTAAACTGGCCCTAGGTGGGATAGATATAAAAAATCAGATAAACAGCTCATATCGACATTGAAAAACATAATGAAAAGGTAAAACAAAACATATAGGTATATTGTTTTGTCGGACATTCGAACTAGCCTTGCGGGTTCATGACGAATCAATAAATAATTCAAACTCAGTCATTTTAGAGTGTTGGTTAATTTAATATCAGAAATTGATGTCGCTTTAAAAACCCACATAGAAAATTCTAAAAATACAGTGTTTAGTGGATTATCATCAAAAACAATTCAAAATGAGTTATTAACTTTTTAGACGCGATATTGGTAGTAGGTCAAAATTTAATTCAATAAGAAATTGATATTTGCCGTTATATTGCAATTCAAGCCCACGAAACAACTGATAATGCTAACATTACTCAGCTGATTTTCATTATGCGTTATCTAAAAAAATCAAAGTACATTTACGTTTCTTGGATTTTATAGTGCCGTCTGGTTATAACTCAAACGACGTTCAATAATTTTTGCCGAGTTGGAAAAATTTGGTATTCACAGGATACCAGTGAGTTCAAGCGAAAATTAAAAATATCTGTCCCAACGCGAATTATATTCATTACTATGCCCACCAGCTAAATGTAATCAGAATCAGAAAGAGCCGCACATCAAAATAAACCGTATCGAATTTTAGTTCAATACAAATACAATACTTCTCTAGCTCGCGCTCAGAAATGGTAAAATTGAGTCCTTACCTTTTTTCTTGCAAATTACACGAGTGAGTCATAACAGGAGAGATATAATCATTGTCATTGTTTTCATAAAAAAACACAACAGATCGAGATTTATCGCTTTTTGGAAAATATTTTCCCGTGGTTGTGTCAACGATATGAATTTTCACTAGTGGGTGAATTACAAGTGAATTTAATTGAAGTCTATCTGTTTTATGCACAATAATTTCAAAAATTCTTTCATAATTGTATTTTGTCTGAGATTTCATATCTTCATTACTGTCATTTTGATCTATCTTCATCTGTTCGATATTTTCGATTTCGTAGTTAACACTCGTTGCACGCGATTCTTTTAGTGTCTCATCTTTCTCCTTGACTTTATTTTTGCCTGTCGTTTCTTCTTTTACCTCGCTTTGCGAAGTTTTAGATTCATTGTCACTAGTTTTCGTTGAGTCATCTTTACTTAAATTTTTTGAACTTATTTTTCGTTTTATAATTTTTGGCTTCAGTGGACTTTGGTGGACCACAACGTCGCCAATTTCTTCCACATTGTATGTTTTATTGCTCGAGGAATTTTCGTCATTTTTACTGCACTTGGTAGCGGCTTTTACGATTTTTGGAGAAGTGACCTCGAAAGTGCCTTGACTCATTGATGGAGATATGATTTTCTTTTTTCTAGGTTTTGGAACAGGTGGTTTAACGCCAGGCAAGTCATTGTCATTTTGTGTCTCTACTGATTTGATCTTACTTGTTCCATGTTTGTCGGACTGCTGACCAAGAAATTTATTCAAAATATAATTTTCGCCAACATTTTCATTCATTTCATTAAACTGAGTGTTATCTAACGGACCTCTCTCTAAAAGGTTTTCAGTACTTGTAGTGGCAGAATCCAGATCATTTAAAAGTTTTTCTTTAGATACATTTATTGCACTGTGTTTACGATTTTTCTTTTTTTGAATTACGGTTTTTAATAAAGCGTCGAACTTCTCTTTAGTTTGATTTTTAACACTAAAACTATGGACTGAAGAGCAACTTTCAGTGTAGGAAGGCATTTTAAGCTGAGTTTTGTGGAAATAACTAAACGATAGTGTTCAATGACGTTTAGCGAATACGTATTTGAAAATGTGTATTTACGTTACCATAGCGACGCAAAGACATTCATAGGACAGATTACCAACGTAATAATATTAGCTATTGATTGCAAAGCTAAACAAAATTCTGAAACATTCACCGTACATACATTGAACGTACTAAACAATGTATTTTACTTATCTACTATTTCAGAACTGTGTTTGTTTTAAATTTACTTATATCAACTGTGTATCATCTTTTATCAGGCGTAACAAGTTGATTGCGTCCTCTTATTAGGTCAAATTGACAGCGACACTCCCTGTCGTTAAATTCCCCAACTTTTAGCAGAAAAATTTTATGGTGCCGGAGAACTGTCAAAGTTCGTTTTTATTTTGTCAATTGTGCCATTGTTCAGAAAATGAACGAAAATAGTGGCATGTATGAAGGACAAGACGGTGAAAAGCAGCCTCTGCTCGCTACTGAGCCAACAACTTACAATGGGGAAGCAGGAGGTAAGGGTTTATTTTCATCGGTATTTATCTGTCAAGATGAGTCATATATTTATTGTTGTTTTAAATCTTTGTTATGGACTTAATTAAAATGTCTCTCTGTTTGCTACAGTGGGACAACAAGCTACTGTGTCTCCAATTGGACCAGATGAGTTACCTCCCCCTTTTTATCAAGCATCGGAAAGTGGAGGAGTCCCAATGGTAACATGCCGAGTATGTCAGGCAATGGTTGATATTTCTGGTAAACGAGACCAGCATGTGGTCAAATGTGGACAATGCAATGAAGCTACGGTATGTGATTTATGTTAGCGTTATTGACAGTGTTGATTTTTGTTTAGACGAAATCAAAAATTTATAAACAATTAAGGTCACACTTTTGAATGAACTGATAGGATTAGCTTGTAATTATTCATAATCAGTTAACTTTGACCCTTCCACTGATTTAAACAAATGAAAACAAAATTCTTTTTCCTTGGTTGAATACAGTAGTAAGCATCATCTTCACCATGATTATAGACGGCGAGGTAAACAAAGCAACAGATTACATTGTGTATAAGTAGAATTTATTTTCAAGATTTATTTTTGTTATACAGCCAATTAGAAATGCGCCCCCTGGCAAAAAATATGTGCGATGCCCATGTAATTGCCTCTTAATATGTAAGAGCTCATCCCAAAGGATTGCTTGTCCGCGACCAAATTGTAAAAGGATTATTAACTTGGCCCCCAGTCCTGTTACACCACCTGTACCTTCGATGCCCGGCATGTGCCGAGTAACCTGTGGACATTGTCATGACACTTTTCTAGTAAGTAAATTAGTAAGTAGTTATCTTATTATATTTGTTTAACTCCTAATTTACAGTTTAATACGCTAAACAATGCTTTAGCACGTTGCCCCCATTGTCGAAAAGTGTCATCTGTTGGACCTGATTATGCAAGGGGCAGAGGTAACATATTTTTCATTTTAGCGGTGATTTTTTTATGCATCGGAATAGGAACAACTGTGGGTACTTATGTATATGCAAGGTCTCATAACGGAATTTATGTTTTATATGTTGGAGCTTTTATATTAGCAATAGTTATGCTCCTTCGTAGTATGTATTATTGCTTTATGAAAGTCAGTATCATAGAAGGTCCAATGTAAAAAGATGTAAATGTGTTACTGAGAGGTATGCATGTTGGTTATTATATCCTTAACAAGTAAATTGCTTTATCTTTTGCATAGAAGCAATAGGACTGGATTTTCTGCACAATTCACAGCAAACTACATTATTTGGGAGTGCTGTGTGTGATTTTTAAATAAAGTGATTTGTGATTGTTACATGTAACATGCATATTTCATCAGTTAATTAATGTAGGAAAATAGCTCCTCTAGTGATAAAACCTCTTTTTTTTACTTTCCTTTAGAAGTAGGACAAACCTGAAAATACAATAAAATATCTATTATAATCGTCAAATATCGATATCAGCAGCTTGTTTCTGTAATTTCAAAAGTCTTATAAAATATTTGAAAATATTTATTCATTTGTTGTTTGTTACTATTAATTACTACATTCCCGATGGACTAACTTTTTTTGATAATCATGATTGTGTATATAATACTATAAGTTGGTTGTATTATAATTATTTTAAATCTGTATGTAAAATTCTTTATCGTAAATATTATACAGACTGTATGAGTAAAGGCGAGTGATATGAAATAAAATATTTTTAAACTTTCTTCAATGAGTTTTATCATAGGTGTTCTGTCCTTTATATCCTCCGACGTAGCCTGAATTATCGGCGACATCGGCACGTCCAGAAATTCCTTTACCTTTCCCTTCAGCGTCAAACCTTTCTTTGTGAGCGCCGGTATATTTGGAAGTGTCCGTCAATCGGTCAACTGCTCCGACACTAACAGATTGCTAAAATGAATTGATTAAATTAGCATACAAGCAAATGAAGTAACCGCTTAACGTGTGGTAACGTTATACTAACAAAATCTATTTACTTTCAGAACTAAATGACATCTTCGAACGATGCCTGCAAGTTCCGTGTGTATAATTGAATTCAGTAAAACAACCTACATTTATAATTACATTTCTAACAAATACAGTGTACAAATGTAATCATCATTAACTGGACCTACTTGAGCCTTTAAAATTTATTTTTTCGTACTCTAATATGTATAGATACTTAAGTATGACAAGTAATTTATACGAGTGGGCTTATTTAGCGCTGCGTATGTGTTACTGTTATAAAAAACTATACATACGGTCGCCTTTGTTGTTCCGGGCAAGCCGCACGAAGCAAGTTTGTCTTTTATTTCTGGAGGCGGAATACTTTTCTGCTGAGCTAGATCTTCAATAAATTTTATAAAAGTGGGACAATCGATCGTTTTTGACCTTAAAAGAAACATTCGGTTTATGATAACATCTTCCCTTTTGAGCTCAACGATATACTTAAATTTGTTGAAACATATCCCGGTATCCGTAGTTGTAATTTTTTTTCCTATCACCTGTGCCTGTTTTAACCATTTGTCGATTTGTGTTAATGTTATGGTCCTACCGTCAGATTTCGTATCCCCAAATTTTGAAAAATTTACGAACTGTTGTTCTAAAGACATGCCACCTTCAGCCATTTTTATGTAATGATTGTATGAGAACACTGAATATTTTGAAATGACACAAAAATAATGTTTGACTTTTAATATTTTCATTGTGATATGTCTATGTCTTCATCTTAGTTTTTAGCTCAACAAGTAATTGATAGCGATTTTAGGTACCTACCTAAATTCGAAATTCATAGCTTATTAGTATGCTACATAATTTGTTATAAAAGTTTTACTCATTTTTGTATAGTAAGGTATGTACAGTTGCTTTCAAAACTTTCACGTCAGTTAATTTTCGTGACATTCAATCAGCAGTTCTGTTGAAAATGTCAAAAACTTCAAATTGCTGCGATTGACGGAGACTGAAAAAGTGTTGATCCTTTCTAAAGTCGAAGAGAAATGGTCCATCAGACAAGTTGCAACTCATTCTGGGTCGAATAAAAGTACCGTGTTACTAAACTGAACAACTCATCGAGTGCTAGAAGAAAAATACGTTAACAGAGGAAAATCTAATCCTGTTTTGTGTAAATTATATTTCTTGACGTTCAGATTTTTCAAATAGAGTACGAAAAAGTTTTTAAATTCTTGTAATAATGGTTGTATGTGTGTCTACCAGCAAATACAAGGTACCTACTTACACTATGATGGCACCACGTAACAGGTTTGGACGATTTGCAGTACATGTTTGATAAGATTAAATTCTGAAATTAAATTACGCGCTGAGAAATTAAAAACGACGCGGCGAAAAAACATTTGAAAATTAAAAAAAATAAGAATGTCAGTCAGAAACCATGGTAATCAGAAGCACACACAATCACGAATTTTCAGTTGGAATAGCGTTTTGTAATGTAGAGAGGCAGGTAGATTTTTGGAAGGTCAGGCACTGCCCTTTTGGACGCGTCGGCATTATGTCCTATTTGTTGTTGTGAGTGTAAAATTTGGTAGTTAAATTTAGTTTGTAATTTCATAAAAAGACAATTATTTAAACAAAAATGAATCAGATTCGATGCCATAATCCGTCACAACGAGTGTAATTTATTGTAATACAATTAATAATAATAATAATAATAGTTTATTTACGGGAACCTCCATTATATTACAGAAAAACAAAAATGTATCTAACAATAATACAAAATAACTAAACTAATTTAACTTAACTTACACAACGTGTGATTTAATTTATCAGAAAAATAATGAAAATAATGGGAAAATTCAATACTGTGTATCTCGCAATGAAAATTTGGATTTTCTAAAACATACCCCAAACAGTTCCACTTCGTGAGAATTTATTTCACGCGTTAGGCGAGCAACAGTCGATGAGAATCCATTATTTGTTCGATATAATGGAGTAAAGAAAAGTGTATTACTTCTAAGACAATTTAAACCAAAAACATAAAACAAGTCACTGGCAGATAAATAACCGTTAAATAATTTGAAAAGGAATATTAAATCAGATTTTAGTCTCCTAGTCTCAAGCGAATCTAAAGAGAGTAGATTTTTCATCTGGTAGTAAGTATAACTATTTTTACTGTAACTCATTTTCCATGCACATGTTCGAAGAAAGGAATTTTGCGACCTAATATGCATCAAATACGTAGGTGAGCAAATCACACTGGCGTATTCTAGAATAGATCTTACCAAGGCACAATAGACAAGCTTATGAGCATCGACAGAAAGACGAAATAACGATCTATTAATTAAACCTAACATTTTTGAAGATTTACTCAGAACATAGTGAACATGTGGAACAAAGGTCAGTTTTTGATCAAAAATTTCCCCTAAATCGCGTATCTCTAACACTGCCCTTATCATTTCATTAATTTGATAACAGAAATCAGTGTAAGCTGTTATTCGATAAAAAGATATTTTAAAGCATTTCTCTGTGTTAACTTTCATATCGTTTCTTACACACCAATTATGTATTCGATTTAAATCACTTTGAAGAAGGGCACAATCCAAAGCTGACGATATCTCTCGAAATAATTTTAAGCCGGCTGCAAATAAGAGTATCTTTGAAAAATATGCCGGTAAATGTCACTAATGAAGAGATTAAATAATAAAGGCCCACAATGGGTTCCTTGAGGGACACCTGATTTCACAGAAATGATGTTTGAAGACGAGCTTCCAATTCTAACAACCTGGGACCTATTTGATATGGAACTTTCAATCAACTGGATAAACATCTTATTAAAATTCATAGCTCTTAGTTTGCGTACTAAAATTTTGTGGTTAAGCCTGTCAAAGGCCTTTGTCAAGTCCCCATAAATTATTATTATTATTATTATTATTATTATTGTAGGACCCACCACTGACCCGGAAATGACCGGCATTCAGGCAAGACTTCTATCATTACGGGTACTAAGACCAAGTAATGATATGCATTGATTAGATTAACAGAACAACTTTCGAGATTCTAGAATTACAGCATACAAATTAGTCTGCTATTATTCTCTAATCTATTAATATTATTATTATTATTATTATTATTATTAAGACCCACCACTGACCCGGAAATGACCGGCATTCAGGCAAGACTTCTATCATTACGGGTACTAAGACCAAGTAATGATATGCTTTGATTAGATTAACAGAACAACTTTCGAGATTCTAGAATTACAGCATACAAATTAGTCTGCTATTATTCTCTAATCTCACCCCATCCCCAAAAGTCAAGCGTAACTACCGATCATTTATCCGCGCATCACATGAAAAGTGACCTACACTACTCTGACCTACTGGTGCTAATCTAATCTGACTGACATGATCAGACTGTTCAAGAAACTTACGAACAATATGACATGTTCCTAACAAAACAGCTTTTTGAATTTTGACAATTATTGAATCATTCAAGTGCAAAGACTTTAAATTCTCAACTAAGCTATTTGGAACTACACCTACATTAGAGATAACTAGGGGTAGAATTGAAATTTTTTTAAGATTTAACATGGATTTCATTTCTATCGATAATTGTAGATATTTGGAAATCTTGGTGTCGTATGTTTGAATAATGTTGTTTGTGTTGGGAATAGCAATGTCAATGAGAATGGCTTCGTTCGTGTGTTTTTTGATAAGTATGATGTCTGGTCTGTTAGCTGTAATGTTTAAGTCTGTAAGTATTGTGCGATCCCAGTATAATTTGTATTTGTTATTTTCAAGGAATGGAGACGGAATGTAAGTGTAATAGGGTGTCGTATCTTCGATTAAGTTCATAAGTGTTGCTAATTCTTTGTGAATGATTTTGGCTGCGTTGTCGTGTCTAGCTTTGTAATCAGTTTGTGCTAGGATGCTGCAAGAAGAGATTATGTGCTGGATCGTTTCAGGTTTTGCTTTGCATAGGCGACAGCAGTCGTTTTTTATGTTCGGATCTTTGATGATGTATTTTCTATAATTCTTGGTATTGATTACTTGGTCTTGAATAGCAAACACAAATCCTTCTGTTTCGGCATACAAACTTGATTTTTTTAACCAAATCAATGACATCTTCTTATTGACATGATTTTCTTCTAAGTCTTTGTAGAATTTTCCATGTAGTTGTTTTTGTTTTAGCACACTTATTATTATTGTTGACCACCCCTACAGATAAACCAATTATTAGGGTGGTATATTAGGGCTAACTTAGATTGTTGGAAATGCATAATTAAATAGTTAAAAATTAGGAGACTGTTATAGATGTGCATTTTTGATCTGGCGTAAACTACAATTGAAGATATCAAATTTATTCCGATAACACAGGCCTGCGATGGTTTTCCCCTAACAAAATCAAGTAGTAATTTTGGTAGGTCTTAGACACTCATGTATAAAAAAAAATTGCAAAAATTTCTATCACGTACAGTTTCTGCAAAAAATATTTTTTTCAGTTTTGTTCTTAGTACTATAAAAATTAACTTCTAGATTTTGTGGTAATAATAAGTATGGATAATGGTGTTGATATTTCATTTCGTGTTCAGCTTAGTAAGAGTTATTTGTGTCGACTATGCGCTTACTACCCTGAATTTAAACAAAAATTACTAATATCTTCTCGGAAATGGGTTAATCCTTCAGATAAGTTTGCTGACACCAATGATTTGGATGGAGCCACAAAATCATACAGACGATTGTTACTTTTGCTGTTCAAATATAAAATGATATAATACGAAAAATGTAACAGCAATAACATATCCTATCGTGAATACAAGAGAAAACGCTTAAATCAGAGCTTTGAAGAAAGAAAAAAAGAAGCTTCTTGATTTATTTGTTTTTTTAAGTCTTGTTTATGACTAATTTAGTTCATTTAATAAATAAACATTCAATTTTATATTCTTTATATTTTATTTTTTCATTAAAATTGTTTGAAAACCTATGAATATTTAGGCCTACATAAAAATAAATCTCGATGTGCTACAAAAAAACTAGAGTTATATTTTAATTCGGCATACATAAATACCTAAAAAAAAAACAATATTATTTAAAAGGGAATTTAAAAGTTATATTTCGCAGGCCTGTGTAATTATTATAAATTCTGCACATAGTTGTAATGGGCGAGAACACATATACATTAGTTCTAGAAATTTCAGTATAAAAACATAAAGGGTTTCTAATGTTTGACCGGGGAACTAGAAAGCATAATTTTTCAACTAAAGCACTTGAATTTACAACACCATTCACCAATTTAAAAAGAAAACAGAGAGACAAAGTTTCTCTCCTCTTTTCCAAGCTTTGAATGGAAAAGAGTACCAAAAGCTCATTTTGAGGAAAACCTCTACAAGGGTAATAGCCAAATGATTTGAAATGGAGGAATTTTAAAAATTTCCTTTGTAACTTTTCTAATTTGAGACAATGAACATCGTACCCTGGGGACCAAATAACACAACCATACTCTAGTTTTGATCTAACAAACGAAGTATACAAACTAAGGAGAGTACTATTAAGTTGAAAGCTTTTGCAATTACGAATGATAAATCCTAACGCCCTAATTGATAAGGAAAATATCTCATCATAATGATTAATGAAGGATAATTTTTGATCAAATATAATGCCTAAATCTCTCACAGTGGAAACACGTTTCAAAATGAAGCCGCCAATTTTATAGTCATATATACTATTGATATGCTTTAGAGAATATGTCATTACACTACATTTAAGAAGATTCAGCGACAACCCTTTTACATTGCATGCTTGTTCTAATTTATAAAGATCAGCTTGAAGGAGAAGGTGGTCAGAAAATGTTGTTATTTTTCTAAAGATTTTTAGGTCGTCAGCATATAGAAGACACTCAGAGCTAAAGCCGATACTAATGTCATTAATAAACAAAATAAAGAACAGAGGTCCAAGAATGGACCCTTGCGGTACACCAGAAGTAACATGTACCTCAGTTGACTGAAAACCGCCAATGGTAACAACCTGCGTCCTGCCAATTAAATAAGAACTAAAAAGTCTAATTAGGAAATCTGACATACCAAAACTATCCAACTTGGCAATCAGTTATGACAACTTGTTTACCCTTTTCTGAGTTTCTTTTAAAAAATATTGGTTCAAAAGCAAATTTGTGATGGTGGAACGACCTTGACAAAATCCATGTTGAACATCACTTATTTATATGCGTAGTTGCCATTTTTAACTGTATGGAAATTAAATTATCATAAAGCTTATAGTCTTTGCCATTTCTATTGAAACACCACCTGTTGATTTTGCCTAAAATTTAGCAATTGCTAGCAGTTTTCGGTTGACTGACAACGGCTTATAGTTAGAAAATTGTGTGA